TTAAACTTTTTTGTCACAAGCCTTTTGGCTCAGGGTATAATTGCTTTGAGAGTCTGATGGTCCATGGGCCGCCTTTTCAGGAAAATCTGTATCTAATTTTGCCCCTAGTTTGAGGGAGTTTGGAGTCCCTAGATATTCATCTCTTCTGTGCGCTCTAGGGTCAGTTTAAAACCACTTCAGGTTATCTTGTTGATGTGAAAAACATCCTTTTAGATACATTTAGAGGTATAGACATTTAACAAATCTGTTTGGTGAATTCTTTAAAATCTGTGTTCAGGATTATTTTAGAAGTAATACCCTTAATCACAAAGGCATAGTCTTTGGAATTTTCTTTTTTTTTTTGGTAAGCTAAGCGAATGATTAAAAACCTCTATTGCTACTAAATGGGTAACTACTTTTCCACTCTTTTCTTGGGAAAGATTTTTCTTTAGAATCTGTAAAAGTTCATGGTCATTCTAGGATGTAATGATTTTCATTAAGGGATTAAATTCCTTTGCTTCATGTAGTAAAATCTTGATGAACCTGAACACTGGTGGGAGGGAGTATTCTAACTGGATTTTGAGTTAACTCAGTATTGACCAGATGACTTACACTGAAAAATCTTTTCAGTATATTTTTAGTAAATACAGTGCTTTTGGATTTTGTAGGACATAGATCATCATTTTGGTTATCGTTATATACAGTAAAGTTATAAAAGATGAATATGAATTCCTGGGCATTGTTTAGAAGTTAAATATTCATCCATGAACCAAAATTCTAAAAACAAATTCTAAGTTTCAGTTAAGTTTTCTTTGCTCTGTGCTAAACATTCTAGAAATCTTATTGTGTCTGTGTCAGTTTGTATACTGTGTGTAAGAATATATGCATTTCTTTTGTAGCCACGTCATGAATATTTTAATGTCCCTGTGTACTAAATGACCACTCATCGTGTATGCAGAATTTCACAGAGGAAATAGAGAGCTGATATGCTTATGAAAGAAAATATCCTCAGCTTGGTGACTGATTACCTTGTGTAATAATAGAACATTTTAGAACCGTTACCTTTGTAATAATTTTCCTATTCTCATCCTCTTTTCTGTTTTATTTCATTCTGTGTGTGATCTTGATACAGCTTTTCCTGCTTGCAACTGGTTTAATTTCTTCTTGAAAAATATGATCATTTTGAGTGATGTTTCATTTCAAACACCTACATGTCATCATTTGTGAACCATCTGTGATTAATCTTGTAAAAGAATACCTAGCAATCATTAAATATTTACCAAAGAAAATAGAGCTGAAATGCTAGGTCACAATTAGCAGTGCCACAATATAGCATGGTTTGATCTTCAAATGTTGGTGGGTGGGATGGGACTATATTTAGGGTAATTATAGTATATATGAGGAAACATTTTTAATGTATCACATAAAAGTGTATTTGGCAATAATACAAGAAAGTAAAATCTGCACTAATAAAATATTTAAGGTAAAACATTTACGATTTCTAAAAAATTTGTAATGCCACATTTATTGACTCATATTTGTGCTATACAGTATCAAACAATCCCCCTAAGAACTATCAGAAAGCTATGTCAGAAAAGTCTCTTCTGCAATATCTATTGTTTAAAAGTAATCCTTTCAAAGTATTAATATAGGGTTTATTTTATATAGTTAAGATTCTAATATTGTTTAAATACTATAATATTTTACTAGTTATATAGTCAAGTCTGCATTTAGATACTTAATTTGTTAAATATGGTTTTATATTTCTGATATTAAAACCTTTAATATTGATCATTGTGTTTTAATAAAACATGCAGCATATATTATTATAAAGAGGAAATTACAAAATAATTCATTGTTAATGTTTAGAGAGTTTAAAGCCCAAGTTAAGTAAGCTATCATTAAACAAGTTCAAAAGATGCTCAGAGTGGTTTACCACTGAAAGACGACCTGTGAAAATGTGTATTAGTCAGGGATGCAGATCAGTTGTTTCCATTCTTCCATTCTTGCTGTACTACATGACATTTGAAGCACCTGGATGGGCTATCAAATGAGAAATTAGCATTATACATTGATAGCATTGGGAAACATTGGTCTTTCATTTCCATTTTTTTCCTATATCCCTCCCCCAGCCCTGCAACATGGTATTCATCTGGTTTTAATACTGCATAAATATGCATTGTCTCATGCCTGTTTGCTTTGGATGCTGTATGCCCAGCTGTAACAAGATGTTGCTTCTTTTGTTATTTGTATACACCTGCTTGCTTTAAACTAGTAGATTCTGAAATAGCTTTCCTTGCATGTCTAAAATAAAAATATTGCATGTACTTTGTCTCACGTGAATGACTTTTTTCTTCTCCATCCTTTTGACAAGTAATATATTTCATATTTTAATTTTTCAGGTAATTTTTTAAAATTATGGTTTAAATGTAGCAAAATTTACTAGTTTAACCATTTTTAAGTGTACAGTTTAGTAGGTTCAGTATATTCACATTGTTGCACAACAGATCTCTAGTTTTTCATCTTGCAAAACTGAAACTGTATGCATTAGAAACAACTATTCCCCATTTCCCCTCCTCAGCCATTGGTAACCACCTTTCTACTTTGTTTCTATGAATTTGACTAATTTACATAATAGTTTTTTCTAGATGGTTTTGAGTACAATTTCAGTGTGAACATGTGAAAATTTTATACTACAATTGATTAAAAACTAACTTACTATTTGTATAAGTCTCAGTGGAAGAAAATGTATAAATGATTCTTTGAAATGAGGCCTTTTAGAAAAGACATATTTTAAAATAATGCATATTTGAGAAGCAATGTGGTTCTCTTCAAGAAATGCTATCTATATAAGATTGCAGGCAGTGAGCACATAAGGGGAAATCTAACCAGCTTCAACGAGTAGGATGAGGGGGCACGTTTACATGGATAAGCTAAGAATCTTAACTCTACAGAATTCAATGTAGGCACCCTGTAATACATTAAAGGTTGTATGACATCTTAAAAAATTACTTAACATTAAGAGAAAATGATTATTTTAAAAGTTCCCCCCTTATTTAATATGTGATTCATGAAAACTCTGAGACCATACAAATAGAACAGTATAAGAAACCCTTCTGTACACATCACTCATCTCCAACAACCATCAACAACTCAATGTTGTTTCATAAATCGCCACCTTACCATGCCTTTTTTGCCTGAGTATTTTACAGCAAGCCCTAGACATCCTATCATTTCATCTTATATACTTCAGTATGTGTCTCTAAGAGATAAGCACAGCCCCCCAAATTAACAGTAATTCCTAATATCTTATTCTTGATTGTTTTTTTCCTAATTGTCTGGAAAATGCATTTTTATAATCAGTTTGTTAGAGCCAGATTCCAAACAAGTCTCACACTGTATCTGATCTCTTTAAGTCTCTGTTAATCTTTAATAACTCTGCTTTTACCCTTCCTTGCCTTTTTTTTTTTTTGGTTAAACTGAGTCTCCTATATGGTGGAATTTCCTCCATTCTGTATTTGGCAGGTTATAATGGCGATGTTTAACTTGTTTTCTTATCCTCCATATATATTTAGACCTGTAGCCTGGTTAGGTTGAGGTTCAATTCAGAGGTGGGGGGGGGGGGGGGGCAAGAATACTTCATAAAAAATAGCCTTTTTCCACCAAAGCAACTTTTACCCATTTTTCCTTAATGCACAAACATACTAAAAGGTCATTATATGAACTTTGTATATAGAGTTGGTTTATAGTAAGGCTAAATACCTTTATTTAGATTTCAGTTGTGTCATGTATCAGCTAACATATTTTGAGCACTTTCTGTGAATCAGGCACTAAGCCTTCTCTCTCTTAATCTCTACAAATGAAGGTAAGTGCTATGATCGTTGTTTTCCAAATAAGGAAACAGACCAGAGAGTTTAATTAATTTGAGATTATTCCATGTAGTGCTTTACATACAATTAAATGTAATGTATGGATTTATGGTTTAATTAATTTTTCTTCTCCTTGTTTTGTGCTGTACCACAATTAGGATGCAAAAGTAAGTCATTTGGGTACAAAAAATTGTTTTCCTCTGTTAAAATCTAGTATGCCTTTTAATTACAAACTTGTTGCTACTAATATCTGAAATTTGACCTAGTTGGTCCTTTTATTTTGTGCTGTACAAAACTGGACACTTTGGAAAATTTTTAATTTTTTTATAGTATGCTTGCTTTGGGTAGTCTTCCTTTGGCATTTACAGATGAGTATTGGTTGTTACATAGAACAAAAGGCACTTCTGTCTCAGGTGTCAGAGCGTTCTTTCTGTATGTTGCTTCCATTGAAGCCATTGGTTGCTCTGGGGAGGTCTGGAAGGTAAATTTCTGCAGAAAGGAATAAATACGTGTGACTCAAAAAAAGAGCAAGGAAAATAAAAATATGTGAAGAATGGGGAGAACTCAGGGGGTTTCCCTGGTCTTTATTTAGGGGAGGTTTTGAATTTTTACAGTAAGACAACTTACCTTTTCTGTAGAAAGTGCGAGTGGCTCAGTTGTGTCTGACTCTTTGTGACCCCATGGACTATACATATACAGTCCATGGAATTCTCCAGGCCAGAATACTGGAGTGGGTAGCCTTTCCCTTCTCCAGGGGATCTTCCCAACTCAGGGATCGAAGCCAGGTCTCCCACATTGCAGGCGGATTCTTTACCAACTGAGCTATCAGAGAAGCCTTTCTGTAGAAAGGTCGATATCAATAATTTCCTTAAATGCCAGTGGGTTTGACAGCTTTTTGTATTACAGCAATGGAGCACAGCACAATTGGTAGGTAATCAGTAGGTATTTAATGCATGCTGAAAAAATCTTCCTGTGGTCTCTGGTGTTTGGGACACAAATTGCTAAATAAGCACTGGCTCTCCATGGAAGTGCCCAGACTGTTGAACTGCTTGTGTTCAGCTTCTCTGAAACTTGCATGCGCTTCCATGTCAATTTCACATTCTCAAACCTCCCCAGATGTGCTTACCAGAGTCTCACATTTTCCCTCCACAGGAAGCTGAAACCCCACGTAGTGTTCTTGAAGAAATTGGACTGACATAACTCTCCTCCCCTGTTGATGACTTCTTGTGGCATTTCACACACTGTAGATGGTCACTGCCTTCATGTCCATGTTAGCTAATGGTGTAAGATGATGTCTTGTCAGTATTACTATTCTGCTAAGCTGCTTCATTCAGGCCTACACAATTTCTTTTTTTAAGGGAACTTTGGTTAATCAAGTGATAACAAGGGACTTAAATATGAATTAGAATGAATGCAGGGAAAAAAGGTACTTTTTCTGGCTATTTTGAAGTTTATAGGTCTGTTTCTCTTGAATAGGTTATTATCATTACTTTTGATTATGTGTATCTATGAGTATGACACAATTAGGCAATATACATTTATTATTCTCTTTGGCAAAAAAATCATGTGAAAGAAACCTGGTTTTATGAAACCAAAGACTACTGCATTTCAGTATATATGCGAATAAAGGGATTGACATGTCACATATCAAATGAATGAAAATTTCACTGTATGTTGAAACTTAAATTATACCAAAGACCCTTATTAGAAAGTAAACACCTTAAAACAAAGGGAATACACAAAAAACTAATGGAATGATGCTGTTTTACACTAAAAATTATTTCATAGGCATCCCAAACCTGGGACGAGGAACAGATCAGCTGTTTCATAATAGTAAACATGCTATTTTTAAGGCCAAGCAACATTTGACTCCTGACATAAATTTTTTTGTGGTCATAATCATTTAGTCACTTAGTTGGATTGTTTTTGATGTCTCCCAAATAAAATGAAAATGTTGACTTACCAGGGATTCTTAATAACAGTATCTTATGGAAAATGTGTTGCTTTTTTCACAAGGTGTTGCATAAGTCATTGTTTAAAGCACGAATATTCCTTCTGGGGTGCTTGTTACAGCCAAGTTTATTTTACTCCCCTATTGCTTCCCTCCACTTAGAAGTACAGCAAACTTTAGGGCGGCTTCCTTCCCTTCCATGACTGCCTAGTTATTGGAAATCCTAAATATAAAAACAGACACCACCTCTCATGAAAGTGTGAGTTGAATGAAGTAAAATGGCATTAGTGGGCGCTATATTTTTTAAGGATATAGTTGTTTCAATGTCACTTTTATACATCTACATATATAAACGTCTTCACAGTTTACACTTTTCATTTATATCTGCTGGGCTGGATTAAGCTTTGTTGTGATTGTGACCAATATTCAGGCCACGTGAGCACTGTCTTACCATATTGCCAATTAGTTGTAATAAATGTTCAACGTACACAACTGTAGTGTGTTTTTATCTTTTTCCAAAAGTCTGTCAAACTATGAAGAGCTGCTAAAGGAAGAATTTTTTCAAAAAATTTTCGAGTAAGTTGTTGTAAATTCACCTCCGTTTGAATGTGGTGATGGTTAAAAGCACACACAAGATAAATGGTGGAAGATTTAAGGAGTCTTCATGTACTTCAAGCCCATTAAAAAATGTGGAGTCCATGCTACTGAGAGCTTATCTACACACTTATTTTCAATCAATAAATGCCGCTTTTAAAACCATGATGCAGTTGATTTTTCTCTGAGCAATTCAAATCACCCCAGGTAATCAAAGGTGTCCTAACCCAACTGGAGTCCACCTACAAACTGGAGGTACTAGCACACTTGCTGAGATGGATGGGTATAAGCAAATTACTGCATAGTATAAGTACCAAAGCAAACCTTTGATTATCTTGATAGTTAAGGGGCTGCCTATTCACTACAGATAGGAAATGTTACATAAAAATAATGTGGAGTTTTTTTTAAAGTATACTCTGATTTCTGGAATAAAATATCTTTATAGGAAAATAGTCAAAAGGATATTTAAGAAGGAAGAAACGACTGCCATATCAAACAAAGTTGCTAGTCTGCTAAAAATAAAAGATGTGTGCAATTAAAAAATATATGTGTAGATTTAAAAGAGCCTCTAACAATGCAGGTATCTCTTCACTGAAAACAGGCCTATGGCAATGTAGAGTTGCAATTTTTGAATCATAAATAGTAATCAAATTACAAGTTTAAAAAAATACAAGTTTAAGTTCAAACGAATACACAAAAGACTGATGGATATTTAAGAGTAATGACCCAGTCAGTGGTTTAAAAACTACTTCCTTGCATCCCTCTAACACTTGACGGGAAAAGTCAGTTACCTTGAGAACAAGTTGATGTTCATCTTGTTTTTTCCTCCTTGATCTATTAAAATGAATGTTCAGCTTTGAATGCCACATCTTGTTAGCTCTTCTGTATTTAGGAAAGGATTGAAAAATTTTGAATTTATTGAGAACTGTTCAGTATTAGTGAATCCAGTAGATACTTACAGAAGTTTTTCAATCATTTATTAGGGTACAGGCATTTATATTCTGGAACAAATCAATTTTTCTTTTTTTCTTGGCTGTGCTGCACAATTTGTGCAATTTTAGTTTCCCAACCAGGGAATCAAACCCTTGGCTGTGAGAGCTAGGGGTCCTAACCACTGGACCACCAGGGAATCCCCTACTGTTTTTTCCAACAAGTTTCTCTGAGCACTTTTTTTTTTTTTTAACCAGAATTGCTTTAGCATCTGGCATACTTAGCAATGAACTCTGTAACACAATACAAAAAAGATGAACAGCCTAATGGAAAACTACGGGGGAGAAGGGGAGAAGGGACGGGAAACAACTGTTTAGTACTTTAAGAAAGTGAATTTTAAAGTAAAAAGCTGTTCAGCTATTAACATAAAGAAATCCAACAATAAGGGGCAAACAACCAAACTGAATGCCCATTAAAGACAGTGTTTGGCTTAGCTTAGCTTATATGTACAGAGATAAGTAAACCAAAAATTTTCCAAACTGGCAAAGATTAAAGTAATCTGGCATAGGAACAGCAAAATTTATTGTTGACAGTGTAAAATTTTTTGTAGTCTTTATGGACGGCAATTAGGAAATACTTTCTCTTAATATAATTTATACTAAGGTAATGATCAGAAATGGATGAAAGTATTTAAGAAAATCCACCACAGGACTGTTTATAGCATGGGATTCTTTAATAGTGCAAAATTTAAAATAACTTAAAAATCAAACAATAGGGATATAGCTTAAACTGATAGAGCCACACTATGCAGTGAGTAAAACTAACAGACTAGGGCTTGATGAAATAGGACAATGTCTGGTGTGAAAAAAAACATTTCAACTACAGCCATGATTTTTTTGTAAAAAAAAGGTGTACACACATATACTCAGAAAAAAAGACTTAAAGTAACGCTGCAGTGTTATCTTTTATATTTTATATTTTGTCCTACCTCCCTTCGAAGACAATGGGCTGCTTTTCTGGGCGCCTGATGTCCTCTGCTAGCGATCAGAAGTTGTTTTGTGAAATTTGCTCAGCATTCAAATGTTCTTTCGATGAATTTGTAGGAGAGAAAGTGGTCTCCCCGTCCTATTCCTCCGCCATCTTGGCTCCTTCCCCGCTGCAGTGTTAATTGGTTATCTTTAAGGGTCAGGATTATAAGTAATTTTTGGGCTGTATACATTTTATGTTTTCTAGGTTCTCTATACTAAACACACTATGATTATCAGAGAATAAAAATATTTTAAAACAGGGGTCCAGTCTACATATGGTTTCGCCAGACTTGCTAAGCCACATGAGCCGAGAGCCCTCCATCCAAGTATGTAGCCGCCATAATAAATAAAGTGTACAATCACTGAAAAACACAGTAAGTTTATTTGGATTTGGGGCTCTGAAGAGTTCGGTCTCTGCTCCCTGACCTTCTCCCGCCACGGCTCCTGGACCTGGAGGAGCTCTGGCTGCGGCTCCTGCGGCTGTGGCTCCGGCTGCCCCGTCCACGGCTGCGGTCCCTTTTTCTTCCTCTGCTTCGGGAATTGTGCCTTCCCCGGCTTCTGGACCTGTGTTTGTGAGATTTCTTGGCCCCATGACTACTCCTCCTCTTCCGGTCGGCCTCCCCGTTCCTCTTGTAGGAGTGGGCCGGCCCAGGGCTCCTCCTCCTCCTCGGCCTGCTGTAGTAGTCATCGTGGGGGCCCAGCCTTGCCCTCCTCTCTGAGCTCTTCCCAAAGGAGGAGGCAGTCCGATCTGGAGATAGGTAGATGTCTCGATTCGCTTCCCAAAACTCATTGTTGGGATTTCTGAACACGTGAAGGAAGTTGCAGTGTTTCCCTCTGGGACACTGCTGTATTTCAAATAAACCTGCAATGGCACAGTGAGGAAACGGCATTTACTGCTGGCACTACATCCTTTTCACAAGATACATTTCTGATGTTCGCTAGTGATAGGACTAGTTTCTCCTTACATACTTTGACCTCACAGTTTGGGTTCCCTGAATTTCAAAAATATTCAATGCTCTAACAAAAGGCACTGTAAAAAGTAATAGATCAGAACTTTTAATTAACCAGAATGTCCCATTCCCCTACTGGGTTATGGTGTAGAGTGCAACCCAACCAATGGCAACCAGATTATTTATTATTTTTTCTATTATTTCACCATCCTGTTGACTGACAATGTAGATCCCTAACTAACACTGAAGAACCAGCCCTGGTCGGCAGTCCTGGTGGCAGCATGCTTCGAGGGCACGGTGGTGGGAGGACAGAACCACTGGCTAAAATTAAAGAGCATGTTGTAAGTAGAGGATCCTATATTTTCTTACATTTCAAGAAGATGATAAACACTGGCCTAATGCTTTATCAGGTGCTTTTAATACAAAAGATTTTTGTCAACAGTGAAATCTATTTGCACAGTTTAGAGATCCCTTGAAGATTTTCAAACTTTTTTGAAAAAGCAGTAAATTAAATATGTAAAAGAGTTAAACATGAGATACCTGTATACCACACACTATATACAAAAAGTCAGTCAAAATGGGTCAGAGTCCTAAACATAAGCTATGGAACTATACATTCTTGGAAGAAAACATACAAGTAAATCTTCATGGCATGGGCTGACATGGATTCTTAGATACGATACCAAAGCACAAGCAAAAAAAAAAAGAAAAAAATAGATGAATTGGGCGTCATCAAAATTAAAAACTTTTGTGCTTCAAAGGACCCCATCAAAGTGAAAAGACAATCTATATAATGGGAGAAAATATTTGCAAATCATATCTCCAATAAGGGACCCTGTCTGTAGAATATATCAAAGAACTCTTACAACTCAATAACAAAAAGACAAAAGAAAAATGGGCAAAGTATCTGAAGAGACATCTCTCCAAAGATATACAGTGGCCAATAATCCAATAAAAAAGACACAAAAAATGCTCAGTAGTTACTAGTCACACTCAGAAGCACCTCACTGAAATCACAATGGATTCCTGGCAACTGACAAAAGTAACTGCCTTCATGGAGAAATACAGAGCCATCTCTTTCAGTCCCAAAGTCTTTAAGGCATAATGGTTCTTCTGGCTTACCAAAGCAAGGAATTCTAAATTCCTTCCCCCCACCGCCCCGCCACTTCACATGATTTTTAAGTGACAGCAACCATTAAGACCAGGTTGCCAAAGATTCAGATTTTATAAATTACAGATTTTGAAATAGGAGGTTTTAATCAAGCGAGTATAAAGCGAAGTGAAGCAAAGGGTAAGGGAAGTGGCCCCTGAAGGCACCGGCAGCTCTTCTCATAGCTTCCGGGGCACTTCAACAATAAATGGTTTGGCTAAGCCTATTTGATAGAAATCACAACAGAATGACCCCTTCAAAATTGCCAGCTACTCAAAGACTAATTCATTTCCTGATTCAGCAGCCACTATCTGATAAATCAATCTGACGGAATGTGCCCTGACCAGGTTCCAAAGCTATAATCAATCTCTAAGGCACAAAAGCTTGTATTTCAATAACACAGGAAGTGTTACAGGTAATGTTTTAGGTGGCAAAGATGACAAGGCTCATTAGGGATAAAGATGGGGGAAAAAACAGCTCAAGTGAGGAGCCAATAAATAGAAAACAGACACAACTTTTCAGGCTTCCTGCAGAGCCTAGGACTTTGAGCACTGACCTTGTCAACTATACATTGTGCCCCCAGTCACTGCATCCATAAAGTGACCCACAAGGTCGGTTACAGGTCTAAAACGTGATGTACTTTATATAGTGATCTCTGTTCATCTACCAGGTGAGGCAAAAGCTAACCTCCACTCCTTTAAAAGGTTGCTTTCCCCCCAAGAATATCACTTTATATGACAGTGGAACCGTTGGGGGGAGGGGGGAATCATGTTGTATTTACCACAAATTGCCATTTTCCATCGGGTCACTGGGCAGAATTCACACTGAAGCTGTCGTCCTGCGTACCACCGTCCATTAAACAGAGAAAGGGCTGCTTGGCATTCTTCTTCCCTTTAAACCACAAATTAAAGGATGTACTTTAGAGTAACTTTCTAAAGTAGAAATGTAGATTAATCCCATTGTTAACTAACTCTGTATTTGTTTACCAGAGGGCCACCAAGCTCACTGCTTCCGTGCTACCTAGGGAGTCCTCATTACAGCATTCAAGCTCCTGAAGCTCACAATTTATTCAGGAAACTTTTTTTTTTTAACTAACCTCTCAGAGATCCTGATGCATGGAAATCAGCTTGAGTCAAAGCTTCTTAAACCAAAAGACTGGACCATTAAAAATGCAGAAGTGTTTTCCACTGTCAGCGCCCGTTCTTTCTCAGTTCAGATCGCTGTCCTTCCTATTACAATGGTTAATTTACCCCATTAGCCATGGCGCCATGCAGGAAACAGCATGACGAGCAGAAATGACACGCTAACTGCTCTCTTAGCAGACAAAATGCACACTGAAGTTATCTGGGGCTTTAATTTCTCACTCTTTCAATTTATACTTTTCTGTTCTCTATTCTGGTTATCCCTTTCCAGTTTGTGTTTTAATTATTAAAATTATATAAGTAAAAAATTCACTATATTGCAAAATATTAAAAACTCTAAGTATACAAAGAATGAAATACAAATATATAATTTTCTAATCCTTTCTATATTTCTAGATCAGCTCCTAATATTTACACTTTTAAAAATACCATGCAGGGACTTCCCTGGTCCAGTGGTTTAAAGACTGAGCTTCCAATACATGGGGCATGAGCTTGATCCCTGGTTAGGGAACTAAGATCCTGCATGCCCCGCCCCCCACCCCCCACACACTGTGCGGCCAAAAAAAAAACCAAAACCATGCATATGAAAGCTATATAGTCAGGGGAAAAAATCCCACATGTCAATGTAAGTCACAACACTGTGACAAAATGTGAAGATGTTTATGTTCAGAATACTTACGACTGATACTGAACATACACATTGCCCCTCAGATGAGGTTCCAAGTTGCAGCTGACCTAAGGAGCAATGAAGAACTGATTTACAAAAAAAAAAAGTCAAAAACCTAAGGAAAAGAAGCCCTCCAGTCATCATACGTACTTCTGTCCAGGCCAACATTACCATAAGGTGTTATCAATCAAAAACTTCAAAATTAAGATACTACCCCATGCTCACATCTATTTAAGGCATACTTCAGCACATGGCAGTGTTGCAGGGAATTACCTGATCCTTTTTTTGTTCAAAGATATGAAATGTCTCACACACATATAAAAATAGACTATTAAAAAAAAGAAAGAAAAAAAATACAGAGACTAGTAATCAGCCCTTATATACATCACCCAGATTTAATACTAACATTTTCCATTTTCGACTGAGCATATTTAAATACGTAAAACATGAAAAACCCAGTTGAAGCCCTTCCATCCTATTCTCCCTCCTCCATCATATACGTCAGCACTCCCCTGAGGTTGGGCAAATCCTTTGCATTCCAAATACACACAGACACAGGCACCCCTATCTACACAGACCCAATACCCACAGCACACATATACATGTGCACGCATGCTAAGTCGCTTCAGTCTGCCTGACTCTGTGACCCTATGGACTGTAGGCCACCAGGCTCCCCTGTTCATGGATTCTCTAGGCAAGAATACTGGTGTGGGTTGCCATGCCCTCATTCAGGGGATCTTCTTGACCCAGGGATTGAATCCACATCTCTTATGTCTCCTGCATTGACAGGCAGGTTCTTCGCCATTAGCACCAGCTGGGAAGCCCATACATATAGACAGACAGGCATATACACATATATGTGTGCCATAAAATATATATATATATATGTATTATGCATGGACAAAACATACAGGCGGAGTCTGTGCCCTCACCTTCCCATCCCACCTAGTACTTCAGAGGGAGGCAAACCAGTCCCTCCTTCACTGCCTATGCCCACCTTAAACTGGATCACTTTCCCCACGTTCCTGAACTCAGGGAGCACGTCGTCATAAAAGTCCAAGAACTGCTGGTAGGTTTCCTCTTCACTGTACTCCAGGCTTGCATCGGGGTCGTAGTCGTCCCTTCTGCACTGCTCCATCCCAAACGTTGTAAACATGCTTTTAATAAGAAGGGTGGGACTCGATGTCGGGAAATTGTGTTTACGTGAACACCTGCATATGAAGGAAAAACTTCAGCAGTCCAATGGTGAGAAATTACACATAAGATACCTGCATTAAACTGTGAGATAAAGACTTGAGCAACTTAGCTGTTTTGACTGAACTGTAAGATGACAAACCTCATTCAGACTTTAAATATCAACACTTAACAAAACTGTTCTACAGCTGACCGATATACTGGATCTCATTAAAATGTACAGTTGGGAATTATTTCCAAGTTCAGGAGTCATTTTAGCTGCCTTTTATTGAAATTCAGAAAGCCTTACACACATGGAAGCACATGGAAAGAGAAGCTGCGTGGGCATGACAGACAGTGATGACAGGCACAGAGACACTGTGCGTGGGACTCAGGACAACGTGAGAACAGTGCAATCCTGATTCCATACAGTCACCAACAAACCCAACACGTAGAGAACAGAGTATTTGGAGAGTTTTAGCTAAATGGAATGCACTTCATAGTTTTCATGGCATTTTTATATTCTTTCCTCTGATCCTTGCAACCTATTATGACAGCCAGGGCTAGTATTTTCTCCACTTTGAAAGAAAGAAAGTGAGGCCTAGAAAAGCACACAAGTTACATGACTGGGGAGAGAAGATCCCAGAGATCTGAGCTAATCCACAGTACACTGCTTATGTGTTATATGATGTGGTAAATGTTAAGGAATTTCTCTTTAATGAAGGAGGTTGACCATTGTGAAGAACAATTTTCTTTTCACAGTTAAACTAGACCGGGTTGTAACTGAGTAATTTTTTACAAAAAAATCTTTCATATGAGTTTACTTTCTTATTTCTTTCTTTCTCCTCAAATAAAATGAAGAGGGATAAAATACAGTTTAAGATTCCAAATCATCAAATTTTCCTGATTAAATTTCCAGCTTAAAAATTACAACAAAATTTTTAGAAAAAAAATCCCAAGAACTCTTGAAGAAAAAAGTTGAAGAACAAAGCAAGTGTTAGAAGAAAAACAATGGCCCCGAAATAAATGTTTAACTCATGTTTACTTTCCACTGTCTGTAACATACATCTGTACACCTGGCTGAGACAATGCACACAGAATGCCTTGCACATACCATGCCCAACTCAGAAATGTGCAATCAGTGCTCATTAATGTGAAATTTTCTAGTTTCCAAAGGAATCTCCTAGATTATTCAGCCAAAGACCTAGTAATGAGATCCATCTTCCCAAGGACAACTGCCCACAGAAAAAAGAACAAGGATTCAACCTGGTTGGCAGTGTTAGTAGAACCAGAATTTTACAAGTATGAAGCACATACAGAATTAAATGAAAAACCAATTTAACAAGGTTAAAATTCTCATGGGATTCTTATATCTGAATGAACTGGGCTCTAGTACCCAGGATGTCAAATGAACATTTGTGAGTTTTGGAACAGTGCCAAATTCCCCATCTAGGGAAAAATCCCACTTGGCCTGGAGACAGTCCACATAGTCTGGGTGTATTTAAGGCCAGCCCTACTATACTGAAAATTCAGCTAAGACAAGGGATACTTGGGAAGGCAGTCTAAAGCTGTTGTACCCAAACCCATGTGATTCTTAGAATCACCTGGGAAGAGCTGAGATTTCTTAGGTCCTGCCCTAGATCAATCTGTTCAGACCTCAAAGAGTGAGGAACCCATGTTTTCAAAGTAACTCTACACCTGGTCCTTAAGGTCAGTCATGTCTGGGGACTCCCGGTTTAGGCCATGCTATTTACCCATTACTCAGATCCTTGAATCAAGTAAGACTGCCACAAAATCAGGTAGTTGGACATTACCTAAACTGGAAGGTCAACCAATAAATGGCATGGGTCTCCAAATGCCCCCTCAGGTAGAACTGACTATGCCTCTTTTTCTCTTCTCAGGGGAGAACTCCAGGCACTCACTACCTTTGTTCTTTATAGAATGAAGTTACACGCTAAAGTAAGGCTGTGATTATATACTGAAGGTCTTTGTGAGAAATATTCTCATGAAAATTACATATGCAACTGTTAATAAAATATCCATGAAAGTTACTGTCCACCTTCCTACTCAGTATCTTTATACAGTATTCTATGGGAAAACATTTAGACTCTGATGCCTAGAAAATTTGTCATTCCAGAGATCCCACTCATTTCCTTTTTGGTAAGAACTACAAAGCTCATTGCTGCGTGGGATGGATACGACTCCAAAGTCAAATGTACTGTATAGTCACAGTAATGCACTTCTCCTTTCCTTGCTTTCTATTTATTTTATTAAACAGTGTAGTAGACTATGAGCCTTCTTTAAATCACTTCTGGAAACAAGTGAGGTATAAATAACTACTCTGGTCAATGAATTTTACTTTTCATCAGTGATTATGTTCTTTAAGGACCAAAAAAAACCTGAGCTCCCCTCCAAGCTGTGACTCTAAGAAAAATCAACTCCAGAAAGGTTCTAGAATTGAATTCTGTACTAATTACAGAAACAAAATGACCAAAGAGATGCTTAGGTTATGCAAGTGTGTGCTGATGTGATAGACCTTAACAGAGAAGGACAGTTGTATGATCTTGAGCAAGTCACTGGGGCTCTCTGTGAAAGGTGAGCAGCAGCTTTGTTTGAAGGGACAGTACTGGATTTTGTAACTGCTAGTTTCACGGAATCTTATTTCACAACTCATCACCTGAGTGATAAAAAAATCCAAATCAATCTCAAACATTTTTTTGATAGTTGTGATGGTGAAATGTCACATGCCTATGAATATATTAAGAAATCTTCACAAACTAATCTGACTACTGTCAATATTTCCTTGAAATGGCTCTCAGACCTGAGTTTTGAGAGCCTGACAGTCCATTCTCCTTTTCACAAGTAAGTCCTGTCAACCAATTTCCTGAAACCATTTAGGACATCTTCCCTTCTCTCACTTATGCCCAACAGAAGAAGAATCCAGAATCCGATGACTGCAAACCTTCACATTTAAGGAAATGTTAGAGATATATCATAAATGAGGAATTCTGCAGCTTGGAAACTTTACACACAGTTTGGTTCAATAACCCGCCCCCCCCACTCCCGTTGCCAATGCAAATATGAACTCATATTGAGTCTCAGTTGTCTTTCAAAGGTAATTCACTGAACATTTTTTTCTTTGGTGGGGGATGTTTTACATCAATCATTACTATTTTGATGAAATTAAACATATAAGGATACGAAGGGGGATAAAGTCTTTCTCTCTTCCTTTTCCTCAAGAGGAGGAGGAAAAGGAGCCCAGTTCCTCAAGAGGAGGCTTTCACTATTGACCAGATTCTGTGAATACTTTCACAGATATTCCGGGCATATAGCATCCCAACTATAAAACATAAAAGAAGTCACAAATCCTACATCAGTGACTCTCAATCCTGGGACACATTACAAATACCTGAGCACATTTCAAAAATTAGGGTGCCCAAGTCTCAAAAACTCTGATTTACTCAATTTGAGATAAGACGTAATTTTTTTCAAGCTTTCTAGATGATTCTAGTTGGAATCCAGGGTTGAGAACCACTGTCCTTAAAAAATGTAAAATGATGTGACAGCTTAAATTTAAAAAGAAAGAGAAAGCTAGAGAAGGTTCATATTTTCAAAGAAGGAAATAAAGCTCACAGCATGTATAATTTTATGAATAAAATAAACATGAGAGACAACATACAGTTTCTCATTAAATACATATGAATTTGCCAATTCATATCCCTTTTTATGATGAATAAGACACTAAGATATAATTAGATCTTTTCTTCTGCAGAATGAAAAGTAATAATTAGATTTTGCCTCAGATGGATTTATTCACCATTATGAATTATTTATCCACTTTAAGTTGTTCATTCATAAACAAGCCAAATTATAAAAATCACCACTGCCTGCCATACAGTTGATATTTAAATATTTGCTAAATGAATCAAAACATCAACACTTAGTTTTCTACGTGAATGTCCTGTTTTAAAATCATTGATCCAAAAGAGGCAGGGAACCAGAGGGTCTCAGAGAATAATGGCAACAGTAACAAAAAGAAATTAACAGCAAACACTCAGCGCTTGCCGTGGGCCTGCCATATTCGACCTGCTTTCCCTGAATTCACTGATTTCAGCCTCACAACTGCCTTGGGGTGGGGGGTACTACTTTTAATCTCCATTTTACAGATGAGGAATCTAAGGCACAAAGGGCTTAAGTAACTTTCTCACCATTATAGCCACTAAAGCCAGATGCTGAACCCTGCGTCTGTTCCTCAATCAGAGCAGACTGAGAATGCGCACTAGAATTTTTCTCTACTCACTCAGATCCTGTCTTTCACAGACATCCCTTTGGGCATGCCAGTTTTTAAAGCTTTCTTCATGCACAGTGTTTGCCATTTAAAAAATAAAGTCAGGCTGCTCCAGTCTTTTGAAATAGATTTCCTCATCCCAGTTCACCCATGTGGACCAATATAAGCGCAGGAAGAAAACAAAAGTGAAAGGTCCTCAGACAGCTATGGGAGGAATGAAAAGGAAGCCCTGCCAGAGAACTGGACCAACCCATCCAGGGGCAGGCAGGGAGGGGGGTGTCGGGGAGCAGGGGACACTCAGCTTGGGGAACTAGAGCAGCAGCAAGAACATAGCAGAGGCCTGACTGAACGTGAACATTTCAAACTCCAGCCCGTGCCACTCCCCAAAAGGGAACTTGGAAACCTTGATGTTTTGAGTCACTTAACTCTGACACAATAAAACAAAATTGGTTACCTATCTCCAAATCTGCACGCTCCCGTTTTACTGTAGAATGGACAATTAGCTCGATCTTTCTCCATTACTCTTAATTCCGTGGGTGGTTCTGGGTTTTGCCATGTGGCACCATTTTCCAACTGTTGAAAATAACCGTGACTTTATTTGATGTAAAAATCCACAAAGAATTAAATGTTTAAAAGGTATTCAAATATTTTGGTCAAAAATAAAAACAGATTCCTGTAAAAATATACACATTTAAGTTGTGCCACACAACCGAGACTCTACAAACAACTGTCATGAGATAGGGGCTATGTGTCTCTCCTGGTTCCTGGGCACTGTCCAGCATCAGGCATTGCCATGGCTACCAGGAGCAGTCACCAAGGTTTCCCTTCTGTCCATCGATTCTGAAAAGAGTCGAAGGACTTGTTAGGGAACTATCCCTTGATTTACTCTGAATCAAGTTAAAACATCCATCTGGGTATAAAAATGTGTGAGGCTGATTATACATTATTTAAGGATTATAAACAGGTCCAGTCCACAGGGGTGATTTTTGCTTTTACTCATCAATTCACTTTTTTGTTGCTATTGTAGAAATCACAGAGCCTCAGATGTGAATCCCACATTCAGACAGTATCTAAGTAACTTACCACAAAATTAACATTACTGGAAATAGTGTTTTTAAAGAAATGTTCATTGGCCTTAAATTGTTAATGAAAGGTTTTGAAAATACCTCATTTTCAGCCTGCTCCAGCATCTTCTGCACAGCTTCCTACAAATGGTGCAAACATAGGACTAATGAAAACCTTCGAAGTCAGGTAAGTCATATCTGGTTTATCTGGTTAAGAATCTCATGTATAACAATTTTAAAAAACCCATCACACAAAAGGCTTCATGTTGTCATTTGCTTTCTATAGCAAAGATCTTCTGAAAAGCTTTCAAAAGACATACAGCTGAGAATCTTCATTCAACTAGGACATTAAACAGCTAACATTTGAAAACATAGTCTTCTAATAGTTTCAGTAAGAGTAATATTTGGCAGATTTGAACATACATTCCACATTCTAGTTTTTAAGGTGAGGTACTAGTGAATATCATAAAAGACAATGGTAGCTGAAACATCACAAACACTTAACAGATGCTACATTATGATATGAACAGTAGGAACTGGGACTGATGAAAAATCTCAAACTTTCTGATAAGACAGTATCACAGTTCTGCACTATGCCAGTAAAATTTTACCTTCTTGGCATTTAAATAAGCTTTAAATTATGTTTGACAGACTTTTCCCTAGTTCCTTAAAGTAATACATAGAAGACTCATATGTCTAGCTGCTTACTTGATTAACTACCTGGCCATGTAAGGGTCCTTAGTAACTTAATGTGCTCAAAATGGAACTCTACTCTTCCCTCCCCCTCACCCATCTAAATGCCTCACCTCAGAAAACAGAGCTGCATGTGCCTACATGCTCAAATTAAAAATGTATGGCTTGAATTCTCTTCTCCTCCTTTCCCCTTCCTGCCCATTCAGCCTACCAGCTAGAGTTCCGCTAACTGCCACGACTCATTACAAATCTGTGTACTTCTCTGTATTAAGCATCAACTGTCATCCAAACCACCATCATGTCCTGTTTGGAGCAGCAGCCTTCTAACTGGTCACCACAGTTCTACTCTTGCCTCCTTGGTCATCACTCCCAACCGCCACCCGCTATTCTTTATACAAAAGTTAGAATGATCTGTTAAAGGTAAAGATATAAATTAAATGAAGTCAGTCCCTGCTTCAAAACTCTTTAATGGCTTCCCATGACACTTCAGGTAAAATCCAAACTCCTTCCCACCCAGGCCTTACATGAATGACCCTGCTACCCTCCTGAACTTGGGCCCACCCCTGTCGCTCTCCTTTTTGGTCTCTAGGATTTAGGCACCCTGACCTCCTTTCAGCTCCAGGCTCAGACCTCCCTGCCTCTGCCTGAAACCCTTCTCCCCAAGATCTCTACACTCAGCCGTCAGTTCACACATCGGCACCTCCTCAGAGCAGTCTTCCTTGACAGGCAATCAATCGAAAGATGTAGTTTCCTACCGCAATCAGTCTGTCATGTGACCTTCTTTCTTTCTTTATACCACATGCTGCTGCTGCTGCTAAGTCACTTCAGTCGTGTCCGACTCTGTGCAACCCCATAGATGGCAGCCCACCAGGCTCCCCCGTCCCTGGGATTCTCTAGGCAAGAATACTGGAGTGGGTTGCCATTTCCTTCTCCAATGCATGAAAGTGAAAAATGAAAGTGAAGTCGCTCAGTCGTGTCCGACTCTTAGCGACCCCATGGACTGCAGCCCACCAGGCTCCTCCGTCCATGGAATTTTCCAGGCAAGAGTACTGGAGTGGGGTGCCATTGCCTTCTCCATTATACCACATACTATTACCTTAAAGCACCTAAAATGATCTTTTTGGTTATTTATCATTCAGTTTCCCCTTCAAGAAACTGAACACAATGAATACAGATCTTTGTAGCTGCCCTATCTCCAATACCAGAGAAGCATCTATCTAGCTCACAGCAGAAACTGAGAATGCAGATCCCTTTATATATGCTTAGAATTGACTTCATTTTACCCGCTTCTCCTTATGTCTCACCAGACTTCCTTTGAAACAAAAACTTAAGCTTTTATCTGGTGCCAGAAAGACCTCAATTGAAAACCATTCCACTGTTAAAATAGAAATTTATTACTCTCGCTCTAAAAAAAAAAAATATGACAAGCTCCAAACAATTTTCCTGCCCCGTAAAAACCTAGCATGATCCTGCCTCATCTGGAAAGCAGTACTCAAGTAAGGGTGTTTAAAATTTACACTGGAATTAACCGATGGCCTGAGACACAAGAAACAAAGGTTGCTTCTACCCCATTATGACTAAGATGTAAACAAATGCATTTTTCCCATGAGCAGGTGATTACCCAATTTTATGCTATTCAAATACAGCAATATCACAGAAAAGATACATCCTGATGAATCAGTGAAGGAAAGATGAGCTGTGTTATCTTTGAAATAAATGCACTGTTAAGGAATAGCAGCAAAATAGACCAAAGCAATCTTTAAAAACAATCCTAGAAGATAGAGATGTATACAAATACCTTAAGATTCTTTTTTTGTGTGAGCAACTATGTTACTTACAACTGCCTTTAGAGCACAAGTTAGAAAAGAAGTCAAAACTTAATAACAAAAAATATTTCCTAATCTCTCAATACTTGAGCTTCTGATTTCTTTCAATCTATTAGTTCTTGCTGACATGTCCAAAGTAGTGAACTCTCTTATGAATCAAACAAAGGTGGAAACTATAAAAAATAGTATTCACTAAGTCAGTCAACCCATATACAACAAAACCTCAGAAAAACACTGTCTGCTGTGGAGTGGTACAAAGTGTAAAGCAGGGGTCAGCTGCCTGTTTTTATCAATAAAACAATAAGGTTTTATTGGAATTTGGCCACAACCCTTTATGTGCATGTTACTTATGGGTGCTTTTATGGGACACTGGCACTGTTGGATGTTTTCAACAGAGACCATACAGACCATAAAGCCTGAAATATTTACTCTGGCCCTTTACAGAAAAAGCTGGCCAATCCCTGGTATATAGGTATATAAGATAGGTAGAGTTGGTGGAAAAAACCTTAATTTAAGGCATCTGCCACAGCAAACACCCAGAGAAAAGCATCATTAAGAAAATCTTAGTGTATATCCAAACTAAAAACATGACTCTTTCTAAAGAAAAACACCAAGCTCAAACCCTGATATGCCTATAGCTTATTGTTCCACCCCATCATTCGCCCCATCCACCCACTAAGAGGATACGCAGTGCGTTTATCCTCCTGTGACAGGAATCACCTCTCTTTCTTTCTTCTCCTGTAGCTTCTGCTGCTCCTCTTCTCTCTCTTTTCTCTGCTGTTCTTCCCATTCTTCCTTTAACTTTCTCTTTACAGAGGGAAAAAAATAAAAAGAAGAAAGGAAACTTTTTTCAGACTCACGTTTTTACAACATTTGGCGTATGGGGCAAATCAATGGAAAATGTTAACATTGGTAATATGAATAACATCCCTCCCCGTTTTTTATTGGTTGCACAAGGTCTCAGTTGCAGCACGCAGGATCTAGTTCCCTGACCAAGGACCAAACCCAGGCCCCCTGCATTGGGAGCACAGAGTCTTAGCCACTGAACCACCAGGGAAGCCCTAACATCTGGTTTTTAAAGTTCAAGGTATGTAACTCTTACTGAGAGTCATTTTGGTTAACTAGTTAGTTAACTGGTTATCTGATTAGTACCATACCTCTTGTTCTTCCTGCCGTTTTCTAGCTGCCTCTTCCTTTTCCTTCTTTATTCTGAATTCTTCTTGTGCCTTCTGCTCCCGCAGCAACCATTCCTCATGTAATTTTTGCCTATTGATGTAATGATGTGATCAAATAAAAGGAATGGGTGCTAATCCAAATACATCCAAACATATATGACAGTAAAATGACATTTTGTGAATGATGAAAGTATCATGAAAGATATTTTCTAGAAAGCAGTTAAGTGGAGGTAAGAGGACCAGGATATACGAGTAGTGATCTTAGAAAAGCACTGCATTTTAGCAACTATCCTCCTAGAGGGAAACAGTGTAAAATCACTACTTCTACATTTCCTAACTGTAACATCTTTACACAAAACAATGACACTCTAGCTTTCTCTTTAGGTTGGCCACAGTGATGTTTCAGTTCAGTTCATTTCAGTCGCTCAGTCGTGTCCGACTCTTTGAGACCCCATGAACCGCAACATGCCAGGCCTCCCTGTCCATCACCAACTCCCAGAGTTTACCCAAAATCATGTCCATTGAGTCGGTGATGCCATCCAACCATCTCACCCTCTGTCATCCCCTTCTCCTCCTGCCTTCAATCTTTCCCATCATCAGGGTCTTTCAAATGAGAAGCTCTTCACATCAGGTGGTCAAAGTATTGGAGTTTCATCTTCAACATCAGTCCTTCCAATGGACACCCAGAACTGATCTCCTTTAGGATGGACTGGTTGGATCTACTTGCAGTCCAAGGGACACTCAAGAGTCTTCTCCACCACCACAGTTCAAAAGCATCAATTCTTCTGTGCTCAGTTTTCTTTATAGTCCAACTCACATCCATATGTGACCACTGGAAAAACCATAGCCTTGACTAGACGGACCTTAGTTGGCCAAGTAATGTCTCTGCTTTTTAATATGCTGTCTAGGTTGGTCATAACTTTCCTTCCAAGGAATAAGCATCTTTTAATTTCATGGCTACAATCACCATCTGCAGTGATGTGGGAGCCCAAAAAAATAGTCAGCCACTGTTTCCCCATCTATTTGCCATGAAGTGATGGGACCGGATGCCATGATCTTAGTTTTCTGAATGTTGAGCTTTAAGCCAACTTTTTCACTCTCCTCTTTCACTTTCATCAAGAGGCTCTTTAGTTCTTCTTTACTTTCTGCCATAAGGGTGGTGTCACCTGCGTATCTGAGGTTATTGATATTTCTCCCGGCAATCTTGATTCCAGCTTGTGCTTCTTCCAGCCCAGAGTTTCTCATGATGTACTCTGCATATAAGTTAAATAAGCAGGGTGACAATATACAGCCTTGACATACTCCTTTTCCTATTTGGTACCAGCCTGTTGTTCCATGTTCAGTTCTAACTGTTGCTTCCTGATCTGCATACAGGTTTCTCAAGAGGCAGGTCAGATGGTCTAGTATTCCCATCTCCTTCAGAACTTCCCACAGTTTATTGTGATCCACACAGTCAAAGGCTTTGGCATAGTCAATAAAGCAGAAATAGATGTTTTTCTGGAACTCTCTTGCTTTTTTGATGATCCAGCGGATGTTGGCAATTTGATCTCTGGTTCCTCTGCCTTATCTAATACCAGCTTGAACATCTGGAAGTTCACGGTTCACATATTGTTGAAGCCTGGCTTGGAGAATTTTGAGCATTACTTTGCTAGTGTGTGAGATGAGTGCAATTGTGTGGTAATTTGAGCATTCTTTGGCATTGCCTTTCTTAGGGATTGGAATGAAAACTGATCTCTTCCAGTCCTGTGGCCACTGCTGAGTTTTCCAAATTTGCTGACAAATTGAGTGCAGCACTTTCACAGCATCACCTTTTAGGATTTGAACTAGCTCAACTGGAATTCCATCACTTCCACTAGCTTTGTTTGTAGTGATGCTTCCTACGGCCCACTTGACTTCACATTCCAGGATGTCTGGTTCTAGGTGAGTGATTACACCATTATGATTATCTGGGTCATGAAGATCTTTTTTGTATAGCTCTTCTGTGTATTCTCTCCACCTCTTCTTAATATCTTCTGCTTCTGTTAGGCCCATACCATTTCTGTCCTTTATTGAGCCCATCTTTGTTTGAAATGTTCCCTTGCTATCTCTAATTTTCTTGAAGAGATCTCTAGTCTTTCCTCTTCTATTGTTTTCCTCTATCTCTTTGCATTGATCACCGAGGAAGGCTTTCTTATCTCTCCTTGCTATGCTTTGGAACTCTGCATTCAAATGGGTATATCTTTCCTTTTCTCCTTTGCTTTTTGCTTCTCTTCACAGCTATTTGTAAGGCCTCCTCAGACAGTCATTTTGCTTTTTTGCATTTCTTTTTCTTGGGGATGGTCTTGATCCCTGTCTCTTGTACAATGTCACAAACCTTTAGGTGCCAATAAGTGAGTAACATCCAGCTTTTCACATTCAGAAAGTATTACCCTTCCTGTTCCATGCATTTTAAAAGTGCCAAATGCAGGATTGTAGCACGATCTGGCGTTTCCTGCTCTAACCCTTGGACTGCTATTCTTTACAGTTCAGAGATTTGGTTTGCCTCAAGCAAAAGAGAACTATATTGTGATCACGTTTTTAAAATAAACCTACAGGTTTTAAGAACAGATGACAAAGAGTTAAAAAAATGCGTGGGTGTCTAGTTTATGTTTAGAAATGACCAGTTATAAAGAGTGATCTTGTATTAAAATGGCATCTCAGGTATCCAATACCACAAGTTTCCAACTTAAAGGTTATATTTCAAAAGTTTATTAGCCAATTTGGTGCTTATAACCTAGACTGTATATTGTCCCACTGAATTTGTAAAAGGAAAATGAAGTATGAGAAACTGTGCTATATTACTTCAGGGACATCAGGACTTAAATAGGTTTTATGTCTAGTCTGGGGACCCAACCGCAATTTCAAATACACGATGGGAGAAAGTATTCCATTTCCAACTACAGATTCCAGGAACCCATCTTTTAGCCATGGCAGAGACTGGCATGTTGCATATGTCAGCGTTTCTGTGTATGTCATGGGGTATATGTAAATGTTTCAGTGTGCAGAACTCTGATTCATGAAGTGCAGTATTTTAAAATAATTATCCTGCTTTTCAACAGTAAAGTATTATGCAACTCTTAAAGAAATAAACAAATATTAATGGAACACAAAGACACATGTATATGATTTAAAAGAAACACCTAAGTACATGGGGAAGCAAAAAAGACTTCCCTCTTTCATGCTATACATATTATCTTCATCGTAACAGAAATCTCTAATAAGAACAACCAGAGTTATTATAGCACCTCCTATCTGTTCACACTATGTTAAGCACTATACACTTACCACCTTATTAATCTCATTCAATCTGCTCAATTCTACGTAGTAGGTACTATGATTATTATTATCATATTTTTTGGCTATGCCATGCAGCATGCGGGATCTTAGTTCCCCAACCAGGGAGTCCTAACTACAGGACCACCAGGGAAGTCCCTGTTTATGTCCCTATTTAGGGTGAGGAAATTGAAGCTCAGAGAGATTAAGCAACTTGAACACAGCTAGTAAGTAGCAGGGCCAAGAATGTAATGCAGATCTGGCTGAATCCAACTCCATGTTTCCCATCACCACTACCTTTCTTTTCCCCCAGCACTTTGATATTTCCACCTACTTATGTGCTTAGGCAGGTAATAGGAATTAATTACAAGAAAAAGAGGCAACACTACTAGTGAACACACTAAATAGCTAGAGAGGGTCTATCAAGTTTTTTTCCCTTTAAAATATTATTTATTTTTTGTTGTGGCAAAGTATATATATCATAAGACTTACCATTTAAGTATATAGTTGAGTAGCATTAAGCAAATTCCTATTATTGTGTACCACTTTTTAAAAAAGCCCAGAAAACAAAACACTACTCCCTGAAAAATATCTAAAGAAAAAAAGAGCAGAATATTTTTGTCATCTTGTGCTGGGGAAGGTCTTTTGAAGTCAGACACCAAGGCCAGATATCATGAGGAAATTGACAACATGGAAATCAAATTAAGTAACTAACACTGGAATCTAAGTTAGGACTGATGACAAATGAAAAAAATATACATCACACACATGACAGATATAGGAATAATATCCTTAATCAAGTAATAACACTGCTTACATAACAAAAAAAAAATGTATCCCCAAAGAGAAAGGTTTAAGCAATCTACAAATAGATAATATATAAAAAGATACTCAACCTATGAATTAAGTAGTATATATCTGAACTCCACTCAATACTCTGTAATGACCTATATGGGAAAAGAATCTAAAAAAGGAGTGGATATAAGTATACATACAACTGATTCACTTTGCTATACAGAAGAAAGTAATGCAACATTGTAAATCAACTGTACTCTAATGAAAGTTTTTTTTAAATGTACATTTGAAATGATGAGAAATAACTTTTTACTATAGAAGTTTTAAGAATTGATAATGCCTATTGTGAGTGACAGTATGGAGAGACGGGCACCTTGATTCACTCTTGGAAAGGTGGCGAACTGCAAACCAGGATGCTTTTTCTACCTGCATAAAAGTGCATTTTATGTGCACTTTTCCTCTTGGCATTTTTCTAAGGAAATAATAGGACAATACCAAGGATATATAATCATGGATACTTGCTGCAACTTTTTTTAATAATGGTAAAAAGCCTGAATGTAAATAAATAACAAATAGTAAATGACGGTAAATTAATAATAAATGTGATTTAACAGTAAATAACATTTATTTAGAGAACTAAACATTCATCAGTAGAGAACTATAAATTATGAATAGGGAATAAATTATGCTAGTCATACAATGGATACTGTGTTGCTATTGAAATGGTTGAATTAGATCTCTGTACCAACATTGAAGTAAATGTCCTATACACTTAGCGGAAAAAAGCAATCTATAGAAAAATATGTATAAATATCATCCCACGAAAGAAATATATGTATATATTCATCTACAGTTTCTTTCTTACCTTCTTAACAGTGGCTATCTTTAGGTATGTGGAGTTTATTGAAGTCTTTTCACTGTTTATACTTACTAATTATCTGGATTTTTTTTTTCAAAAAACATTTACAAATTAGCAAAAGAGTGAAAAAACTTTTTTTAAAGACAACATCTTGTTTCAGCCCATCAACTAGAGATTTAAACAGCTTATCCAGGGCATTTTACAAGATCTATTTTGTATAAGATTGTGTAAAGAAGACCTGTCCTAGTTAGCGAAGACTTAGGATATTCAAGTAAAAGAACTGGGCTTGCAGAAAGAGCTTTAATCAGTGCTGACCTCTCTCTCTCCAATAGCCTCTCTTCTTCTTCTTGTTCTTCAGTAAAAGCATCTGCCACTGATTCCTCTTCCTCCTCCTCCTGTGAGAGTCCTGAAGGAATGTAAATGTTTTAGGATACTATCCGTGCATTACAAAGCCTTGGTCAATAATTCAGGAAAAAAATTATATAAATTTTTTATCTTTACAATTATGGTACAAACCTCTTTTTAAAACTTTCTAACAATAAAGGGCCCCAACTGCCCAAATTGGAACAATGTGAACATTGAAAAGAACAATAATGGTAGTAGATTAACCCATTAAACTGATACCCCCTAAAATGGTGAGATATGGGAAGAAACATCCATCTTTATAGAAGAATGGCAACTGAAGAATGTAGAAAGACTTAAGCAGAATAGTCCTCAGTGCTGTACCTCACTGTAGGAACTAACTGTTGGGAAGAGGATATTTATTTACACTATCTCAGAATACCAGCCTACAGATGAATACTAATTACAAAGGGGGAAATATCTATTACAGTGGAGCCATCTGACTGGCAACACTGACCACACTTCGCATCACTAGGAGTGGAACAACTTGACATGAGAGGCCCCCAGATGTATGCAATGAGAGCTATACAGCATCAACTGTGTAGTATTTTGCCACAGAGTGTACCTGAGGCTACTCAGAAGACGTACTAATCTAGAATGCAGGGCATTCTACAAAACAACTGGCTTGAGTGTTTCAAAATAACCAAACTTGAACTGGGAAAGTTTACATATGTTCTGTGTATATCATATTGCTGAATTACTACTCCTTTATTTGTTTAGTATCGTGGCCTTATTCTTAAGAGATGCAGGCTTAAGTATTTAGGGGTGAGGGCTATGTATATGTAACTGACATGCAAAGGGTTCAGAAAAAATTTGTATATGTGTCTATCTATCTATATACAGGGAAAGTAAGGCAAAATGTTAACAACTGACAAACCTAGGCAAAGGGTTCATGGATGTCTACTGTACATCATGGATGTCTACTGTACATTTCGACTTTCTGTACATTGGAACATTTTCAAAATAAAAACATGGGAAAATAAGTCCTAATATAATTAAAATCTATATCCTCTTCTACTCAAAATTTAAATTTGTGGGGAGAAAAAAAAGGAGGAAAACTGCAGTGATCTTATGGAACTATAACAGAAGATCTCAGGCTAAATGGAAAAATATACTGTCTGTCACATACATTAAGTATTTAAAAAGTGAAAAGTGTTAGTCACTCAGTTGTGTCCAACTCTTTTCGATCCCATGGACTGTAGCCCAACAGGCTCCTCTGTCCATGGAATTCTCCAAGCAAGAATACTGAAGTGGGTAGCCATTCTCTTCTCAAAGGGATCTTCCCGACTCAGGGATCGAACCTGGGTCTCCCACACTGCAGGCAGATTCTTTACTGTCTGAGACACCTGGGAGGCCCATATTAAGTATAGGTCTAACCAAAGGCTCACCGAGTCCTAGATAACTACAGTACTGAACCACTGAACGATGTGGTGGTTCCAGGCACTGGCCCTCCATGCAGTTGAAAATCCATGTCTAACTTTAAAGTCAGCCCTCCACATTCACAGTTCTTCCATATCTGCAGTTCTGCATCCTTGGATTCACCCAACTGCAGACTATGTAGTACAATAGTATTTACTGCTGAAGAAAATCCACATATAAGTGAACGTGCACAGTTCAAAACCCATGCTGTTTAAGGGGCAAGAGTGTATCTAACTGTATTATACATGTAACTATATATGGAATCATTCTACAGTTTTCCAGCTTCCTTTTTTCCTTCATGTTACCTTAATTTCTGGTAATGCCGCTTATTTCAGGTTATTTCAAGTTGAATTGGGTGCTAAAGAAGCTACCTGTAATAGAAAGGTTGATAATCCAGAAATTTCTACCAATCACTTGCCAATTCACTCTAGAGCAATTCTTACAGAATATTTCTATATTCTAGTCTTCTGGGTAATGTTTGGACATCCAAGTGTGCTACAACCCACAGCAGTGTTCGGTTGACCACAGTATTCATGAAGCACCACTAAGTAAAAAATTGTGAGTTCGAGTAGGCCAAAGCAGGAGCAGTCATCCAGAGGCAAGTGCTTCATTGTGGCTCTGCCATTAACCATATATAATCATGAGCAGACCAAGTGAGCTGCATCCTTCAACTGACTATAAACTGCCGAAGGACACATCCACTTGCCTATTCATAGAGACTTACTCCAAATGCGCTTTACAGAGTTAAAAGGGAATAAAAAATATCAATGCAATACATTGGAATTGAAGTATGTAAAGAAAAAGAGAAAGACTTTTAAAAAGTTGGGGCATGTTACAAGAAAACAGGTTAGCATAGTAAGGAAACTGAGAACTTTAAGGAGGGTGGGGAATTACTAAGGGCATCAATAATGCCAATCTACCCTGTTTCTCCTTTTATCCCTGATGCTTTATCCTGTCTCAAGTGGACCAGTTTTGAATTAAAAAAGAGATAGTAATACAGGCTGCAGGGCAATGCACTGTTCCTTTCACTCTAAATATGCCAAGTATTGCTACTCAAGCAGTTTCTGGGCAACTCTAAAGATAAATAAAACCTCTATGGCTATTTTTCTCAAGGCCCAAAAATCCTGGTTCCTTGAAGCCATGGTCTATGGACTTCAAGAACTGTCCAGGATAATTTACTAGGCATATTCTGGTTAATGTACATGACAACCATTATAACTCAGTACTCCTGTGTTATTTTAGTGCTTCCATGTCCATTTATTACTACTATATAACTTTACAACTAAGGTCATTAAACAGGTAGGTTTAATAAACAGACATTAGATTCTGCCATGTGAGGGCCAAATGACACCACCACCAGTACAGATGAAGGTTCCCACAGTATTTTAATAGGAAGAAAAAGTGATAAATAACCACATGGCAATAGTAGTAGTAGCATTCCAAACTCCACTCAGTACCATGTTAATGTCCTGAGCATCTGTTTCTCATCATCCCTGCTGCTGCTGCTAAGTCGCTTCAGTTGTGTCCGACTCTGTGCAACCCCATAGACGGCAGCCCACCAGGCTCCGCCGTCCTTGGATTCTCCAGGCAAGAACACTGGAGTGGGCTGCCATTTCCTTCTCCAATGCATGAAATTGAAAAGTGAAAGTGAAGTCGCTCAGTCGTGTCCGACTCTTTGCGACCCCATGGACTGCAGCCTACCAGGCTCCTCCATCCATGGGATTTTCCAGGCAAGAGTACTGGAGTGGGGTGCCATTGCCTTCTCCGCCCATCATCCCTAACATTACATAAATGTAGATATAGGGACGTCTCTGGAGGTCAAGTGGTTAAGACTTCGCATTTCCACTGCAGGGGACATGGGGTCCATCCCTGGTGCGGGAACTAACACCCCACATGCCACGCAGTGTGGCCAAACCAAAAACCAAGTTTCATAATTAATTTCATCTGTTTGTATTTAAATAAGATTAACAAGGGGGCTCTCACGTTAGTGTAGTTTGAGAAAAACTTGCAAAATGTCTAAACCCCTCGAATCCTGCTGGTTTTACAAAGAAAAATATTCACCGAATACTTACTATGTGCAAGGGCTGTGCTAGCTGCTGTAATTCATGATGCCTGCACCTGTAATATTAGATACTTTATAAATACTTCCACGTAATCAGTGGGTGATGATTCACCATGACTTCTTCCCCCTCTTGGGTACTTTTACCATTGCTTCTGATATGGGTCTAACAACTTTTTGAAGGGTCATGGCCACAAGCAACTGTGTATCTGATAACAGTACTTGGACGAGAGTCGCGGGAGCAATTTCATACACAGAAAACAAGATAAGTAAGTCCATTACCAGAGTCTCTCAGTCGAGCGAGTTCCTGTCGCCGTTTCTTTCGTTTCTCCTTCTTCAGGGCGGCCCTGTACTTTTTGTGGCTGGAAAAACAAGACACACACTCCAGCGGCAGCGACCGCAACTGCAGCACTGCCTGAACTCCCTTCTCCTCCGCGCCCAGTGATAGAACTCCAACAGTGAAATCTTGCTTCCCGCGTTTTAATTACAGAACATGCCTTTACCACCGCCTCGCCATCCCATGCGCACACGACAGGTCTTCTCCATCCCCTTCTGCTCCCCTTCTCGCCTCCCTGAGCCCGCAGATGCCCACTAGTAATTCAGGCGCGCCCAGGGAAAGGATAGAGCTGCCGCGGTGGCTCGTCTGCTTGGCCCAGCTCCCCCTTTATTTCATGCTTGCACATCTTCCATGCCCAGCCTCGGTCTGCTCCGTCCCCTTTTCTCGTCAGCTCATCTCGCCTAACCCAGCTCACCTCAGCTTCTCCGAAAACAGCATAATCTCGGGCCCCGCCATCTTGCCAGCGCCGCCACGCCCACAGGAGCCGGCCGGAAAAGGCGGGCTTGAGGACGTGCGCAGGCGCAGTTGCTGCGCGGCGTCTCGGGCGGGGGTGGAGGGGAGCGTTTCTCTGCTCCGACTGACCAAAGACTAAAGGCCGGGGTAGGTGGCTCGTGTTCCCAAAGTCTGCACAACTAAATGTCTCCTTCCCGAAAAATCCTCTGGGGCACCTACCCCGCCCTGCAAGTAATTCTTCTTTCCTAGCGCTTCCCCAGTGCGTTATCATTACCTCTCCCCAACTCATTGTGAGGTGTTTTGTGGCCAAGAAGTTAGTCACACCTCTCCTTTTCTCGTCATCCATTCACGAAGCCTCATCCTAAACAACGCGGCTAGCCTTCCTTTCCAGTCCGAGGCTGTGCCTCCATTCGTGGTTTCACTTATCGTCGCCTCAGACAGCCCTCCAGTCCTCCCCCTTCCACTGACACCTGCCGGCTCTAGAGGCTACAGAGGTGCAACCTCTGCTCCCAAGGAATTTCCAACCTAGAGACAGAGAAGGACCAATTCACAAATAAGATTATATGATATAGGCAACTCAGTTTACATTACATAGGCCACTTGGGAATTCAAGGAGAGCTTTCTAATGCCCGAGTTGTTTTGAAGGCAGTTAGGCTAACCCACCTGCCAATGCAGGAAAGAGACGTGGGTTCGATACCTGGGTGGGGAAGATCCCCTGACATAGGAAATGGCAAACCGCTCCAGTATCCTGGAGAATCCCAGGTACAGAGGACTCTGGTGGGCCACAGACCATAGGGTAACAAAGCGTCTAACACTACTGAAGCTATTTAGCACCCAGGCACGAAGGGCTATTACTCAGGTGGAGAAGGCTGGGAATGGACTTGCAGGTAAATCAGCACAAGCAAAGGCACTGAGCGATGAAACAACGTGGAATCTGCCAGAACCGCGAGAATTTTGGCCATCGAGTATAAAGGGCAATATGAGAGTATCAAGGAATACAGCGATAGAGGTGGCTGGTGCTAGGTTATGGGGAAGGGCCATTCCCAAAAGCTTTAATTATGCTCTTTCGGGAATAGGGAACCGTTGAAAGTTGAGTTTAGGTTTTTGTGATTGTATTTGTGTTTAGGTAAGTGACTGGTTTGCAGTATAAAGGATACAGCCAGAATAAAGCAATCTAGGTGAGAGGTAACAAGGAATTAAACTGGGGCAACAAGAGTAAGAGATTGAGAAAGCAAAATCAATCCTGCTAATAATTAGACTGTGGTTTACACACATAAGACCAAGAAAAAACGTTTCTCCCAAGGACACGTTGCAATTGCAAAAGGATTAACAACCCCCTTCTTTTAATAATTGCATAACTTCCTTCCTGGCTTGTCTTTGTTTCTCTCTCATCCAAGTCAAAATTACTGAGATACCCAATTACTAAGCTGCCTGTTTCCTTAGTCCCTCCCTGAAATCATTCAGAAGAAGCCCAAACTCTTCATAAACTCTGCCTTACTCTTTCTTACAAAGACACTTGCAGTAACAAGTCTCCAAGGTGACCTTGTTCAGCTCAGTAATTAGGAACATAGACTTTGGAGTTGGATGGACTGGGAAACTCAAGCCTTGACTGTCTGATCTTTTTTTTTTTTTCAGCTGAGTCCTAACCAGTAGACTCCCAGGGAACTCCCAGTTCCTAATGTTTAGTCCTCAGTTTTCTCATCTGTAAAAATCAGGGAAATGCTATATGTTGGCATAGTGCCTGGCGATAATTAGTGTCCCAAAAACATTAGTTGTTATTAACAGCAGCAGTAGCTTGAAAACTTCCCAACGCCCTCAAGAGTGGATTAAATACTTGTCCTATGGGTGCTCCTTGCACAAATATTTCACCTTTTATAACACCTATCACACTATTTTGTACATTGTTGCTTCCATAAGACTTCATCTTGCACTATGTCTTAAACTTCTTGAAGGTGCAGATTTGGCAGTTATAGCCTCTAACTAGAAAATTCCTTGGATGGCACAAAATATAACTGTGCAGATCTCCAATTTTGCTGGTTTCTGTGACCAAGAATTATGCTGAGAATTGCCATTCTGAAAACATCAGTGTTTGGGTTGCTGTAACATTTCTTATGAATCAGACCAGACTCTCATGTCAGAATAATTAAAGATGTCTTCTAGGAAGATACTCCTAATTTAAAAGGATACAGATTTAGATTTTATTCTATTATGATTTAGAAGTGAATGTAAATCTTCATTTATAGGAGTTAGATATTTATCATCAACAATTAACTGCTGAATTCATTTTCATGAATAAATTTAAATTGCTCAACTTAATTTTATTACAGAAGTTACTCTAAAAGCCAGTTTCATTTCCAAACTATAGTCCCCATCATTTGATAAATCATAAGATAAAAATAAGATATGTAAAAATGTAATGCAAAGATATAGCCTACTATGATATTCTGATAAAACAAATTTATATTTATTCTGCAATGTAACATGTACTTTCTATTTTTCTTGGTGCCTGAAATACAACTTTTACTTATCCTCAAGTATACCTGTTTTGGTTTATCCCTTCTCTATGGGAAAAAGCCTAAATTTTTGTCTTAAATTGTCAGTAGGAAATAGCTGATTATTCTTAAAAAGTTAAAGAAAATATTTTACTTTATATTTAAAGTATTTCACATTTATAGATACATAAATGATGTAATAGATAATGCTATTACAAAGAATGCTATTATTAAATGAGTCTTAATTATTATAAAATGACAAAAGAATGATCCATAATTGTATTTTTTTTCATTTATAGCAAGCATAAAGGGAGAGCAAGGAAAAAATGTTTACTCTTTGCCAGGTTGGGAGTCTTTCAATTATTTTGGCTTTTTTATTGCTCTTGTAGGACAGTAATACTGGGACTCACTGAACGGTCAATGCAGGAATTCTCATGAAAGAACATTTCTTGCCTACCATTAATTTCATTATTAAATCACCAGATTTATTCAAAGACATACAGTGGAGTCTCAAGTCCTCTTCAACACTCATTGCTATGCCAAAGGCTTTATATATTTTCCAGATTACAGTTATCACTAAAAATAGCAAGATAAAATATTTATAAATGCACATTAATATAAAAATACTTACAAATCTATATATGTACAGCTGATTAAAAAAGTTTTCTTTGGAGGAAGGAGCTATCTAGTGGTAGTTATTCTTTATTCAGTTCTTTATTCAATCAGTTCTTATTCAGTTATTAGTGAATAAAGTTATTCTTTATTCATTCTTACTGATTCTTTTGTCTAGTGATAAGCTCAGAGCAACACAACAGTTAGAATGGTGGCAGATGTTAACCCCACCTAGAACCCAAACCAAAGTACCACTTTTGAAGAGTAGGTTGAATTTGAAAAGCAGGAATCCAAATGTATATAGGGACAAGTGTCTTAGTCTGTTCAGGCTGCCATAATAATATACCACAGACTGGATGGCTTATAAATAACAAAATTTATTTCTTACAGTTCTAGAGGCCAGGAAGTCCAAAATCAAGGTGGTGGCAGATGGCATATTTGGTGTCTGGTGAGCACTTCCTTACTGATTCATAGGCGACCATCTTCTTTCTGTGTCCTCACATGGTGGAAGGGCTGAGAGAGCTCTGTGGGGTCTCTTTTATAAGATCACTAACTCCATCATGAGGGCTCCAACCTCATGACCTAGTTATTTCCCAAAGGCTCCACCTTCTAATGGCATCACATTGGGAGTTAGGTTTCCAACATATGAATTTTGAGGGGACACAAACATTCAATTCCTAACAACAAAAATGCAGTACTATTTATAGGTGAAGTAGCCAGTATTGTTAATATGTACTAATTAGATGGCAAAATTGAGCTTATTCACTTAATTGAACTGTATCTATTTTGATCAGTAAAATTTGATATGAAAGAACTTAAAGTTGAATTGAAAAGACAGAATTAAAAAAAAGGCAGAATAGTTATTCTGTCTTAGTCTACTTAAGAATAACTTATTCTACTTAAGTTATTCTACTTAAGTTACTTATTCTACTTAAGAATAACTTATTCTACTTTAATTTATAGAATTATTAATAGAATTCTAATTAATAGAATAGAATTAGAATTAGAATTCTATTCTAATTCTAATTCTATTCTAAATTCTAATAATAGAATTAATAGAATTCTAATTATTCTAATTAATAGAATAAGAATAACTTATTCTGCTTAAGTTATTCAACTTAAGTAGAATAGTTATCAAAAGTTGAGTCTTCTAGTGAATAGAAAAATACCTAAAGTGATTACAGTACTGTGTTTTTGCTAATATTGTGCCAAAAGAATGTGTTCCCCCTGCCCCACCCCCCACTGCCCTATGATCAAGAGAAGGGCATCTTCCTAAACATTTTTGAGGTGGAAGCCTGGTTTTAGAATAACCAACCTTACCGTAACCCATGTAGCCCTGGGAAAGGAGAAAGGGGCTGGCAGCTTGCCCTACTGGTGAAGTCAGCAGATTGTGCACTGGTTCCATAGAAATTGGTAAACTGAGGAGCACTGGATGGATCTTTCCATTCCTGCTTCTCTAGTAAATCCCTCATGAGTTTTCCAGTCATTTTTTGATCTGCATGTTGTCTCACTAATTTTACAAACATCTTACATACTCAAAGAAACTAATAGGAACAAAAAGTCATTTAACAAATATTAACATTGTAAAGAAAGGGTTTTATTATAGTATGTAATGAAAATGAGCAGCAATTGTAATACAAAGCAGGACATGGTTGAGAGTGAAAGAGGGTACTGTTAAAAACTACACCAGAACACTAGATGTAAGTTAATCAAGGGTGGCTAACCTGGACACACCTTATGAATATCTTCTGTATCTCTAAGATGGAAGGGCAGGTCGGGCATTCTGTGCATTGGTTCTCACTCCAATTTAGAAGACTCACTGCAATAGAATTTTACACTAAGAATTTGCTAGAAGGGAAGCCTGTGCCCTGGAAGATGCATATCTCATGTGTGTACCTGTTAAAGATAAACTATGGTTTGCAATGGCTTCCCAGGTGATTCAGTGGATAAAGAATCCACTTGCAATGCAGGAGACACAGGAGATGTGGGTTCGATCCCTGGGTCAGGAAGATCCCCTGGAGGAGGGCATGGCAACCCACTTCAGTATTCTTACCTGGAGAATTCCATGAACAGAGGAGCCTGGCGGGCTACAGTCCATAGGGTCGCAAAGAGTTGGACACAACTAAAGTGACTGAGCATGCACACAGGCATGGTTTAAAACAGATAAGAATAAAGTTAACATAGCTTTTCCCCCATATTAATCTTGTAAAGAATTTTATTCATTTCCTAGAGCATGTATGCTTCCATTTTCCAGAGAAAGCATGCACTGTAGAAGCAATGCCTTCACCCTGTTCCTTTTTTAAGAGCAGAGATATGCCCCTAAACTTAAACATACAACTCCAACCCTATTTTTTTTTCCCTACTGAATTTATTAGTTACTTTTACTTGTGGTAAAATACACATTAAAATGAAATTTACCATCTTAATCTTCTTCATTGTATAGTTCAGTAGTGTTAAGTATATTCATCCAACCTTATCCTACAGATCAGATGACTAGCATACTAGTGAAACAAATATACTAGTAAATGCAGTATTGAGTTTGAATACAGGCTTATAGGCAGTTAGACACATTCCACATATTTAGAAGCAAGGGTGACTCTGGATTGGATTCCTCACAGTATGTAGAATTATCTAGGTTTTACCTATCTGATGAGTTTCTTTCCTTATTATTATAGCGAAAGTCTCCTAAACCACTGTATAAATTAGGACATTTATGTTATCTCCTACCTTGCACAGAACCTCAACTAATGAAATAAAATACAGTTCAGATAGTTTTAAAGGGAAGTCAAGACAGTTTTTTAATTGTGGGAAATATTGTATTCTATGAATCAGTGTAACATACAATGCAAAATAATACTGTAAACCATAGACTATTGTATTACTAGTCTTTTGAAAAATATTTCTGTAAAATAGATCATGAAGAATTTTAAGTTCTAGGCACTCAAAGCATTTTCTTTAAAATGTTCTGCATATGCTTTCTTTTTTTTTGAGATAAACATATTTGTGGTTATATTTTCCTCAAAATGCATATGCTTTCTATATGATCAAGCCTTTAAGTAGAACATCTGGCTTTCAGAAATGCAAAAGAATTTCCAGATATAAGTATACACTTGTGTTTTTAGGATTACAAGATATTTTTTCTATATTATTAATTGATAGTAAGTAATCATATCATGTGTTAGTAATGACAACTAAGAGTTGAGGCATATACCCACTGAGAAGGCCTTATAAAAGAATACACATTCGTGTTTTAAAATCAGATATACCTAAAACATAGCCAATGTTCAACCAAGAAGTGCCAGTCTGGGTCCTGTGGCTGTTTGTGAAAACCCTGCATTCTGGATGGTCAGTGTCTGTGCCTTACCAGTTGTTAAATCTTTTGATTCTCATTCCTATTTATAACTCTACAGAATCACCAATTGATAAACATAAAAAGATAGCTCAAAAATGTTGCATGTAAAAAGATATTACAGTTACCAACAGGTTCCTATAAGAGAAACTTGTATCTCTTACTGGTACTTCAGTGATAAACATCAGTAGCAATAAAAGTAAAAATTTGTTTACTAAAGAGCTTCCCTCAAAGACTAAGGAACACTGCCATACAAATAAAGGCTCGTTTATAATTATTAAATTCAGGCATTTAGAAGAGTCTAGTTAACAATATTTAAAGAAGTAGTATATATTTAAGCAAGATAACTACCTAGATAATGGCATCTTAGGGAGTCACTTGGCTGGTGGAAGGCTTGGGTTTTGCTTGTATGTTCAGCACATAGTCATGACGGAAGGATGAGCGGACAGTGCGGTTCATTAGGGGCTGAAGGGGGCGGAAGTTGTCCACCATTCTTTTCTCTTTCTCCCCTTCAGAAGTGAAGAGCAGGGTTCGAAATTGCTCAAGCTAGAAACAGAAACAGGAAGCATAAATATTTTCCAGTAGAAAGATAGCTTTACTTCATGAATAAATTACTTTCATTTTTACTACTTTCATTTTAAACTTGTATATATTTATATAGCTAAAAGAACAGAAGGATTTATGTGCATCTGTATAAATAAAAGACCAGAAGGATTTATCCAAACAATGATTAACACTTAGTGGTAAGATTATAGGCAACTAGGATTATTGATGACAGCTAATATTTTTTCTTACTGAATTTTCTGTGTTGAAATTTCATTTGAAAAGTTCTCACATGGGCCACTGACCCTCTGATTTATTTTGTTTATTTATTTTTCAGTGTTATATCAATTTTTAAATATGAAGGATAGTAATAGACTAAATGCATAGGTCCCCAAGACCAGTCTTATGAGCAAACTCTGTATTGTCATTTATTTATGATGGTTTCCACTACACAACTTTTTTTTTCTTTAAATTATGTTGTCTACTAGTTGCTATCTCTGTGACTTCTGGTTTCGATACATAGTTAGAAAAACTTCTTCCATTTGGATGTATGAAAAGATTTTCCTAGGCTTATCCTAGTACTTTTATGGCAGTATTTTTAACACTTAATATGTCTGGAATATATTCTTGTCTAAGGTTTGAATGGTTGATTCAACTTTTTGTCCCCAAGTGTCTGCTCAATTGTCCCCATTGATCTTACTGAATAATCTCATCTTCCTCCCCTACTGAGCTGAGATGCAACCTTTATCATAAACTAAATTCTCATATCTACTTGGACATATTTCTGAATCTACATTTTTCACCCTATGATTGATCTCTTTATTTGTGTACCAGCACAACACTATTTGGGCTTCCTCAGTGGTGAAGAATCTGCCTGCTGATGGAGGAGACTCCGATTCAATCCCTGGGTTGGGAAGATCCCCTGGAGGAGGAAATGGCAACCCACTCCAGTATTCTTGCCTGGGAAATTCCATGGACAGAGGAGCTTGGTGGGCTATAGTCCATGGAGTCACAAAGAATCAGACAGGACTGAGTGACTGAACACACAACACTATTTAACTATTGAGGCTTTGTAACTTGGTTGATTTAATCATCTTTCATTTTCTCTTTCACAATTTTCCCTGGCTATTTATTTATACTTTTTTTTTTCCACATGAGGCCAGAAGTAGCCTATTTTTAAAATCCTATTGGTATATTTATTGGGATTATATCAAATTTATTGAGAATAAACAATTCATGGACAATAACAACTTAAGGAGAATTGACATCACAGGTATCTTTATGATGTCTTCCTATTCAATCACATGGAAGTAATTTTTTATCAGTTCAAGTCTATTGTGTCTTTCAGGAGTATTTTAAGTTTTCTTGTTAAGCTGATTTCAAGATATTTTGTAATTTTTCTTTCCATTATAAATAGCATTCTTTCTTCCATTATATCTTTTAACTGACTATGATTTCTGCATGTCAAAGGTATTGATTTCTAGAAATTAATATTGTACTCTAATTACTGAATTATTGTATTTTTGTAGTAGTTCCTTTTATTGTTTCTCTAATTTATTTTTTCATGTCTAATTACACTACTTCCAGAATAAAACTTAATTTAAAATTTAATATAGTTATATTCTTTTCCATATTAAGCATCCTACTTACTTTAGAACTGAAATCAATCTATATTATCAAATTAGGGAAGTCTCCATACATTCCTATTTTATTGAAAATTAAAAAGAAAAACATGAATGTTGAATTTTGCTAGTGCATTTAAGAATCTATGGAAATGATTATAATTTTTATATTTAGGTTCATTGATATGCTAAATAATATTCCTAGTATTGAACCATCCTTGCATTACTGGAATAAATACTACTTGAACAGAGTATAATATATATTTCTTTTAGCACACTGCTGGATTCTGTTTCTGAAATACTATTTTAGTTTTTTTTTTTTTAACCACAACCTTTGTGTGATGTGCGGGATCCTAGTTCCCCGACCAGGGATCAAACCTGAGTCCCTTGCATTGAGGGTGTGGAGTCTTCACCACTGAACGACCAAGGAAGTCCCTATTTTAGCTTTTTAAAAAATATATTCTTCAGAGGTATCAGTCTGTAAAAAAAATTTTTTTTTTGGTCCTATCTTTGGTGGATGTTGGTGTCAGTTATCCTGGCTTCGTAAAAAAGGTTTTGGGACTTTTGTTCTTGTGAAAATGCTTTGTGATTAATTAAAATCCCATAAAGCAAGCATAAGCAAATACTACTACAGTTCACTTATATTATGAATTAAATAGGATTTGTGTGTTAGCATAGTATTTAACACCTATTTAGTTTCTAGGAAAAATAAACTTCAGGGTCAAAACAACTGACTTAAAATTTCTGGACACATGCTGTTGGCTTCTGTTTTTATCCTGAGGTTCCATAGCAAAATTCCCTTAAAGATTTTAAAGAGTTTCAAGCACATCCACTTTCAGCCTTCATTCTTCCCTTTAAAAGGGTCTTGTTTACATAAAGATTCATATTTACATATAAAATATACAATACATAAAACACATGTAATTGTCAAATATGGAAGTAAAAAGCTTGTTTCCTAAGTTTTAACTCTTCTCTCTAGTTAATTTGAAGCATTCCCTAATTCATATCAAAAGTAACACAAGATGTTAGCACATTTTAATAAAAATATATAAGCATTACAAGATAGTAAAAACTGATGCCAAAGTTTGAGCTTGACCTTGTTTTAAAGACACAGACTAGAATTTCTTTACATAGAAATGTGGAAAGAACATACCTGATCATGATCAACCTCTACAGGCTGCTTTTTAATGATCCAAGTGACAGACTCAGACAGTGGCGGTGTAGTCAGAGACCCCGAGTAGGTCCAGTAATCTGGGCAAGTAGGCATCAGACAGGAAGGGTCGAATGACCCAAATTCTGCAAGTGTGTCCTAGCCAAGAGAAGGAGTCATTGAGTCATCATTTCATGGTGAAAACCACTCAGGAATCATATGATGTGGTGATGATGCTCGGGGAGTTTGAGGACCTGCAGTGGTCCAGATGAGCTCCAGCTACCTCTGGTCACCTTAGGACAAAATCACACTCTTGCTTTGTTCTTACAATTAGCCATGTATTTCTGATAGCCCTCAGTGGGAACAAAGCAAAAGCCATTTTCTCCCTCAGTTCTAGTGAGGTTAGCACAGGCTGGCTCCCCTGAACTCTTTGAGAGGCATTAGGTAGTAGCTGGTGCATAAACATGGAGGCTTTTCATTTTCAAGAGAGACTAAAAGAATTCACCTTTCTAAAATGGAATTCATTAGGAGGAGACAGGATCCTGGATTGAGAATGGAAGAGGGAGGGATGGGGAGAGGGGAAGGAGGGCAGAAGAGTAGGAGAGAGAGATAGAGGAAGAGGAAAAAGAGGGAAATGGAGAGGGAAGGAGTGGGTAGGAGGTGGGGGAGAGAGACAGAGACAGGGATGGGGAGGGAAGAGAGAGAGAATAGACTTTCAGAGAGTAGCCCCATCTGGAATTCTGAATACTGAACAATTAATCTTTGGGGCACACAGAAATATCCACCCCGAAGGATGTGGTAATTGTTCTGTAAGACTGGACAAACTAAGTTTCTATGAAACTTTGCTCCCGGTCTGTGGGAGGGTAGCTAGACTCCAGAAGGCTGCCCTGAGTCCTTTGCCCTGAAGGACTGAGAAGGAGCAGGGGTTGGGGACGAGAAGGGGACTCATTATGTTCCTGAGTCCGAGTCCCTGAGTGCTCAGTGGCATGGCAGCCAAAGCAGAGCCATCCGGGCCCACCGACAGGATCACTTCTGCCCCCTACAGTGTCCCAGGGCCAGGGGCTCTCTCAACAGAAGCATCATAAATGGCAAGTTGTCTTAAGGGGTGACTTTCAAAGAGAACCTCAGTTACACTGAGGCGAGTTACATTTCCCAATTCAAAATGGCCTGTTATTGTCTCCACTCAGAGATTGAAATATAAACTATATCTCAAGTGATCTAGAGGGGAAAAAATTACCTTGTGCTTAATTGATGGCAAAATATTCACCAGTTTCTGTAGCTCTTTGTGATGCTTGCCTAGCTAAAGAAACAATGAGAAAAAACTAAAAAAAAATAGACATCTCACTTTTGAAACTGCAACAGAATATAAATTAAAATTAACCACCTGGTGATTATATAAAAACAAACCAACCATACTACTTAAGCTACATTTAAACTGGTAATTTAGAATGTTTTAAACATCACTGAATTCAATTAGACACAGAACAACTGAGCAGGCTGTTTGCTGACAGGGTCAGCATGCCTATAGGCGAAGATGCCCTGCTCCATTTAAGCATCATTTCTTTAATTAAAATTAAAAATTGTTCCACAAAGTAGCCACAGTTCTTTTTTTTAAGTGGTCACATTGCCAGTGCTCAGTTGCCACAGGTGGCTTGTGACTACTGTACTGGACTGTGCATTTCTATACCATTTGAAATATATTCACAACAACCTTGTATTTTAAACATTATTTTTATCTCAATATTTTTAGAACTTAAAATTGCAGTGTCGTATTTTTTCATCCTAGGATACAATATATCATTTAAAGCTAGTAAGATTTTATTTTACCTTTAAAAATACTCCTATCACAGCCAAACCATTTTCTTCCAGTGCTGCATCCTCAAAGTTTTCAAACTTGACCGCATTCCAATGCACCAAGTGCAGCTGAAACACCATTAAAAGACGGTTTTACACATGATCATGTAGGATTGCTCAAAAACAGCCTTATTCACATATGATATTTACTGTGCTTCCTCACCCAAAATAAAGCCACTGAGAAAAGCATATGACAGTATGGTGCAAAATAAGACAGAATTAAAGAACAGGAAGAAATATACGCAGGGGCAGTAATTAATACTACTTTGGAATAGGCTTTATTTGGGGTGAAAATTTTGTATACACATATATATGTATATATCTATCTCCAAGTGAATAACATTTCAGTGAGGGAGCAACATTTGTCCATTCCCATCCTGATTTGCATGAAACACTCATATATAAAATCCATTTGCATCTAAAGGAGAGATGTTTATGTTGAGAGAAATAGATTCTCCCTATGTGAACTAGGAGTTTAGGACAAATTTGTTCCAGGCATAACCACTTAAAATGTGTTTCTTTTTAAGGTAACATTTAAAACTAAATTAGGTGGAAAGTTGTTAAGAAGAAATTCTATGTATTTTGGCCCCTTTTATTTCCCTACAAATAATTCCTTGTCCATCATTCATGAATCCTCACCCTGCCTCCCAAGTGACACTCTCAAGGTCATGCTTAACTTTTTCCTCTCCTTTCCTGAAGAGGACCCTGCCTCCAAGTCATTTTGCTTTAATTTCAAAAGTGCTTGTTAAGTCATATTCTTTTTCTTTATTTCTATTGCCACCACTTTCATTTAGGCTCCCACCATCTGTCACTTGGGTTGATTTGACCTGGTGGCCCTGCACTGTTGCCTGCGTTATTAATTTAGGCTATCGTGTGAGCCTAGCTTAGAATTCTAGAAAAATACTGTTTCGGGATCTTAAGGTTGATTTCTGTCATATTATTTGAAATGAGGGCAGTTATCATTTTTACATGTTTAAACTGGGAATCATCAAATATGCCCCTGAGAGAGTTAGCATTTATAGGAATTACCTGATTCTTCCTGATAATTTCTTAGAACTGGAAACTCAGAACTATTCCTTCTTCTCCACTGTTGTCACTGTTCCCAAACTTCTCAACTTACCTCTGCTGGGTAACATTTGCTGTCCACGGTATGCTCAGAGCCCCAGGCATCAATGGCCCCCCAGTGAAAATGGAACTGCTTTAATCGGTAGTTGTGTTCCAGGGGTCCTCCCTCGATCACTGAAATGGCATATCCAACAATTCAGGGGATTTGATGTTTTTGATGTCGTGGAGAAATGCAGGGGAAAAGTAGACTCTGTGGGTGGACTTTCTCGTGAACTGTCTTAAATGGAGCACACTGTATTATATACCAGTGTTTATAAACTTGATTTCCATGCAGTTAATACATGTGTAAGGGCAAGACCTGCATTCGGAATGACACCAGGATTTAACTATACTCCAAGCTGCACACAATTGTTAAAGGCCAATTCTTGCCTTAGTTCTATGGTCTATATTTATTATGCCCAGTGTTTTTTATGCACAATAAAATGCAAACTTCTCTCAGCATATTTATCTAACACAGTCTTATAAAACTGAAATAAGGGTACAAAAGATACTTTCTTTTTTATGCGCCAACACTTTGCTTTTCAATTTTTGATGATAACAATGTTTCTTTTCCTTACATTGAAATGGAAAAGGAAATTTGCAAGTCAAAAATTATCACCTATCTCCCTTTGGACAGAGTGAACAATGTGAGTCATCCCCATACTTTACTTTCTGGAACTACTGAAATCAGTACATTATAGGGGAAATGTTCAGATATGAGTTTTAAAAGTCATCCTTCCTCAGGCTTTGGGTTGTGCAATTTTTTTTTTTTTTTTGCTTGCATTTGCTGAAACTGTTAATTCCTCATTTCTGGCATCTGAGCAGACCCTGGCGATGTCTGTTCATGGTTAAACCATACAACAACAGGAAAACCAAACCTTCCATCTCATCCATATTAATTATTTTAGAGTTTATTGCCTCATTAGTTGAATTTTATGTATGCAAATGATTGAGTACAGTCATTCAGAGGTCCAAATACACTGGCTATGTCATGTAGTGGTCTACTGTTTATCTTACTGGCTTTCATAAATGTTTTACATAACTTCCTTTTTTGAAAAAAGAAAGAGTTAAAAAAAAGGAGTTTTGTAAGGGTGAGCAAAGACACCAATGACTACTTTTCTTTGAAGGCTAGGAGAAGTGCAGAGAATAATACCACATGATTCACTGAATTAATAATAGGATGATAGTAAAGTGTAGTGAAATAGACATAAAATTGTATTCTAAAAAATTCTTATTTTTCTATACCAGCTCCATATTGTGAGCATGAGTTTGGCAAATGTTCAGTCTAATCTGTTGGGTGAAACTGAAGTTCTGCCCAGTCACATGGGGAATCTTCCCAGACCGGGGATTGAACCCATGTACCCTGCACTGGCAGGCAGATTCTTAATGACCGGCCCACCAGGGAAGTTCTAACATATACTTTTAACTTTATTCATTAACACTGTCATGGATGCATTTCTTCACCTTCATGAGAGAAAATCAAAGTTTGTCAATCTTAGCTCTATTGATTTTTTTCTTGCAGTAAAGAATGATTTAGGCCTAATAAAAATCAAATTTAATTACTGTATCAGTATTGGTAATAGAAAGAAACAAATGCACTCCAGTGAGTGCATCTATTGATATTTAAAGCTGGATAACTCTTCATAAATGCCGGTAATTGTGGCCTCGACCCACGAGATGCCAATAGCACACTCCTCCCAATGTGACAACCAAAATGCCTATAGATGTTGCCGTGTCCCTAGTCCCTGGGGAGGGAGGGGTAGCAAAACTGTCAGTGGCTGAGAACCATTCCTTAAGATGGATCATGTGCTTAGTCGCTCAGTCATGTCTGACTCTTGGTGACCCCACAGACTGTAGCCCACCAGGGTCCTCTCTTCATGGGATCCTCCAGCCAGGAAGACTGGAGTGGGTTGCCATTTCCTCCTCCAGGGGATCTTCCTGACCCAGGGATCAAACCTGTGTCTCCTGCACTGCAGGCAGATTCTTTACCTGCTGAGCCATGGATCAATTGTTGCTTAAGATATATTATTTCAGGTAACACTTATTTCAGACAAATATATTTGATACTATCAAATTCAGTTTGAAAAAAGAATACTGCATAGAATTAATCACATGGTTTTCAATAGACACTAAAAGTTTCAGGTAAACTTTGAAGTCATTAGATTAGTTTATATCTGGGTAGGCTGAAAAAAAGATTTAAAAACAATATAATATTTGAATTTTACAATCTCTTTTAAATTGTGCTTCATTTACACTAGTTGATATTGTTTAACAAAATTAACAGAACATGAGTTTCCATTTTTCTTACATATCATTGGTCTCTTAACTAGTTTAGACTGTAACCTCATGCACACGTGAATATGCTTTTTGCCCCATTTCAATGGTATTGTAGTCTCATCAATTAGATCTACTTAGATAACATTACAATCTAAATAAAAGTGTCTTATAAAGTCAGCAAGCGGAGAAAATTTGTACCTATGCAATACACATATGCAAAAGAAATTTCTAGCAAGGGTTTAATTTCAAAGCCTATCTTTTTATCACTTACAAATTCTCTCTATACAGATATTTGCTCACTAATGAAAAAATACTACGGATACTAGAGAAAAACATTCATAAAAAAGAGAAGGGGCTTCTTCCATACATTACGAAAGTAAGCCCAATGAGTCCCATACCACTGATACCAAAAGGGTTCCCGGGGCTGTGCGATATGGCCTATGCTGACATGAAGCTGTCCCTTTAACTCCAGATGAGACCACGGGTCTTGCTCTCACCTGATTTATCTGCAGAATCTTCAAATTCCACGAGGAAAGAGTACCCGTTATTCCAGATGTGGAGGCAGGTGGTCGGGTCATAAGAGATGGTGAGTGGCTGTAAGCCAGGATCATAGACACTGTCCCTCCACCGGATGTTGATGGGCGACTGGCGCTCACCCGCCGGGACCAGGTCCACTTTCTCCCAGAGAGGGTGCACTAGGAGAAAGCACATCAGGGCTGTCATCGAGAGGCCCACTAGCTGGAATCCTCACTGCGGGGATCATATGGACCCACCCCATATGGGATCATATGGACCCATATCCCTCCCACCTCCTGGGGGAGCCAGCTGTGAGGATTAGGCAGACATCCTGCAAAGCCTGGCCAGACGTTAGCATTGCTAAGGTCCCTGGAGTCCTGTCTGTCACACGTGTAGCTCTGACACTGTAAGTTCAGGTGTACACGCACACACTGTCTCACACGGCATCACCGCTGCTGATTTTTCTACCAGAGTCAAGCGCCAGGTCTTTGTGGCAAGTCCCTGATAAATCTCAGCAAATTTCTTATAACAAAGAGAGCTATGGACATGTGATGGACAGACTCCACGTGTATAATTCGGGTTGTCCAGGTCTCTGCCCTTTAGAAGCAGCATGGATGGGCAGAACCAAGACCAACAGGAAAACCAGACAAAATATGAATCGAGATAAATCATGACCAATGCCCTTCTGAACCTCACCCCACTGCTGAGAATGAGCCTGAGGATTTGAGAAAGTGGCAAGGCAGCTGCTGCCCACTCAAACCCCTCTGTGCATGGCAGGGTCACTGGTACTCCACTTGTTAGAAAAAAACAAGCCTGCCTCTGGTTTCCTCTTAGACGGGAGAGGGTTCTCTTCCTGAGGTAGTTGCCCCAAGTGGGATCCTACAAGTGGCCCGCAGTATAGACATGGAGCGTGCCAAGGCAGTTTCTAGACCAGTGATTCTCACAGGAGGGAGCTATGGGGACCCCAGGGGACATTTGGCAAGGTCTGGAGACACTGTCAGTTGTCCAACTGGAGGAGGGTGCCACTGACATCTAGTGGGTAGAGGCCAGAGATGCAGCTAAACATCCTATATAGTAGCAGGTTGGGCTTTCACAAAAATTATGTGGTCCCAGATATCAGTAATGCCAAAGTTGAGAAATCCTGGTCTAGAGCCAAAAGCAACAGGCAAACTCAGGGTATTCCCTTTTTTCTGCTCAGCTTTTCACATAATACAGATCATCTCTTCCCTAGAGGTCTGAACCCGACGTTTTGGGTTTTCTCCCTCGGTATAAAATAACTTCCAAAGAACAAGAACTTACTTGAGAGGAGAACTTTCTGTTTCAGAAATCTAAAGTGAAAAATGGGGGGAACTGGCACCATATAATCATATTATTATTGGACTGGAATGCAGATTCCTTGCAGGCAGGAGCCATGTCTCCCTGCCCCTTTATTGTGCCCTGTAGCTCCTAATTTGATAAATGCCCTTTAATCTGAGCATGGATTATCCAAATGCTATTGTTGGGTTAAAAAGCTGTATCTGGTTAGTTTTTAGTTTGGTATTTTAAAGCTTCCAGAAACCCCCAAAACAGCCCTGATTCAGTCTTAAAGCTGACCCCCAGCAGAGACCTGACAACATTTCCCCTCTGAGATGCCCAGAGGGAGGCTGAGGCTTTGAGCATTCACACCCTTCGAAACCAGCTGGTGAGGGTCTGTCTCCCATGGAGACTAGGGAAGATAGGAATGATGAGCAGATGCCTAAGACGATGCCCTGTTTCACCTTAAATCGGCCCCCACTTTGTTCAGGAAATGCCTAGAATCTACTCCCTCACCCACACAAACAGCAGCCTGAGGAAACCAGGCCTGTTCTTTCAGTGGCTCTTTTACGGTCATAATGGGCTTCCCAGGTGGCACAGTAGTAAAGAATCCGCCTGCCAATGCAGGAAACATGAGAGACTCAGTTTGATCCCTGGGTTGAGAGGATCCCCTGGCGTAGGAAATGGCAACCCAGTCCAGTTATCTTGCCTGGAGAATTCCATGGATGGAGGAGCCTGGCAGGCTACAGTCATAGGGTCGCAAAGTGTTGGACACGACTGAGCATGCAGGCATGGTCATAACACGCCTGTCAATTCACAAGTTTAGCTTCCAGGCTTTCCCCCACTCACCTCCTCCTTTTGGAACCCAACCCCCACCCCCTATCAGGGAGCCCTTGGTCACTGTCCCCTTAGAGAAGCCGGCTTTTGCCCAGGGCTTGTTTCGCCAATGATAAAGTCACGTTTTTGTTCTCTTCTCTCCTCCTCTTCCTCCATTCTAACAAAGTACAGATTAAAATGATTTCTTGATGGTTGCTCAGACTTTGCCTCAAAGCAGGAAGATGATTATGTGCTCTGACAATGGAGCCTGTGTTTCCAGTTTCTTCTTGTGTGGGGAAAATGAAATGAACAGCAAGAGTGATTCTATCAACCATGGTTTAAGGGGCTACACCACACTATTAGGTGTCATTAATGAAAGCCCTTAGATCCCATGTGCTTGGCTTGGCTTTAGTTCTTGTTTATGTGACTGGTCCTGGCTTTGATTTTTCTTTGCACTTGTACCACCTATGGCTCCAGCCTGGGCTGGGATCAGGGAGGGGCATCACTTTTAGCCCTTGAGAAGCTTATTCTTTCCTTAGCCCCTCAGTTCCTGCTCTTCCTTCTCAGAAGTCAGTTTCCCCTCATTGAGTTTATGGGTGGCTCCTATTACATTTAAATATTGGGCTTGTCACTTTCTCAGTAAAATCTGCTCTCACTACCCTCTTATAATGTGATCCCCTCTTTTTCTTATTTGTTAATCACAGCACTGATCTTTTTCCTTCACATTTATTACATAGGTATAGTCATAATTATATACATATGAAGGGTAGCACAATATGCTGCTGTAGGGAAGTAAAGATAATTTTCCCTCAACCTTCTAAGTCCTTAGCTGAGACCCCCACACCCCCACCATAATAAAAAGACAGATTATAGGGAGAAAAAAATTAATTACCTACTTACTTATTGGAACCCCCACAAGGATATAAAACTGAAAAGGCATCTGGAAAATTGTGGCTTAAATACTATTATGAGCTAAGGGCTGGGACCGGTCTGGGACTTCAAAGGGGAGGAATGAATTTCACAGGAAGGTGAGAAGAGTTAATACATCCTAAACAAAGTTTATAGAAAGGTGAAGAAGGGATCTCCAGCAATAGTTGTCTTCCAGGTGCAGGCCCCCTTTCTAGAGTAACTGTATCATGCAAAAAATCTGGTAATTTATACTCTGTTTCCAGAGCTTCTTTGTCTGCAATGTCTCAAAATAATCAGCTCAAAATAACCCATATGTCAAAGAGGCATATTTTGGGGTAGTGAAAGGGAATCAAATATGCAACCCCCAAATATATCTCTTCGGTATAAGGATTATTTTGAGAAACAGCAGACATAGGAGAAGCTCTGGAAACAGAGTGGAAGTTACCGATTTGTAAAGGAAATTTACATTTCCAGCAGAAAGCTCCATTTGAAAGGGTGTCTCCCTCTCAGTATCAGGAAGAGGAGGATGACTAAGTCACCAAAAACTCGTCAGTCAAGAATGCAGGACTTAGATCTGTAGAACAGCCTTACCCTTGTTGAATGTGCTTTTCCTGGTCATCTCCAATAACAGCCCTGTCTCAGCAGCTTCTTTTGTCTGTAGCTAGAGCGGGTATTGAAGGTGGTGTCTAGGGCCACCTGGAGGAATTACTGTTTTCCTGGGTCTCTCCCATGTTATCTAGGAGGTACACCTGTTATTAAACCTTTTTTGTTTTATTTTTTTCCTGTTAATCTGCTGTATTACACAGGTCTCAGCCAAGACCCTAGAAGGCTAGAGGGAAAATTAGTTCTCCTAACACTTAACTATCTGCCTCCCTCAGTATTCTGCAATCCAGAACCAAGCTGCAGATTGAATGTATGAGATAAAGGCCATCATTGGGAAGGGCTCATTCCCCTTTTATCTTTATTTCCTATTACCCTGCTGATCATCACACTATTTTTTCTTTAATCTTCCTTCAGGTTTGTCTCTTCCTTGCCTTGCCGGTGACATGTCCACCAGCCTAGTTTAGGCCTCTCACCTCACACGTCACACCACACTTCTTAGTTGTTTCTCCTCCTCTCTCACCCCTCTCTACTCCATCTTCCCAAACTGGTCTTGACATCTTCTCCAGTCACTCTAACTCTAATCTTTCCTTCTTTGGAACTCACACTGCATTCATTCTCACATCATTTAGCACCAGCCATTTCTCATATAAAGTATATTTGCTTCATCTGCTCAAAGGGCCTGTGTCCTCCACTTTTTATACAGCCCAGGGCCAAAGTTGCTGCCAGGCACAAAGGAGGCACTGAGCACTTATGTTACTGACAGAGAAAACCAAACAAGGTCTCTCTACCCTTACCTCCTTACCTCACAGTCTCTCCAACCAGGCAAGCAGGTTTACCCCAGAACACTTGTGTTCAGATGATCACATCTGCCAGTTTCTCTCTCATTTCTTAAAATCCTACGAGGCTCTCAAGGTCAGTCCAAGCCCATTCCCTAACAACCCCACACTATATTAAGCATCCCTTCACCTGCTGTTACCCTCTTAACCCGCACTGTCTAATATGGTAGCCACTCACCCCATATGACTAGTTTAAATTGAGATGTGCTGTAAAGGTAAAACACCTAGGGACTTTGAAGACTTAGTACAAAACAAAGAATGTAAATAGTTCATTTATAATTCTTATATTCATTTTAAAGAGACAAGATATGTTTTGGATATATTGGGTTAAATAAAATATACTAGTAAAATTAATTTCCCCTCTATACTATATCTCAGCTATGTATTTGACATGTTAGAATTAATTTCACAAATGAATAAAATTTATTCCCCCCCCCACCAGTTTTATTGAGATGTAACTGACATACTATTTGTTCTTTTTAAAATGTGGTTATTGGAAAATATAGAACTGTCTATATGGCTCATATTTGTGGCTCATATTCCGTTTATTTACTGGACATTACTGCTCTATGCCGTCATTAACCTTTTCTTCTGTGCCTTGCCCTGTACCTTCTCCTGTACCTGTCCTTTTTCTTGAGATGGTGCTGTTTACTCATCAAATTGAACACCATCCTAGCAGGCCTAGGTCTACTGCAGTGAGAGGATACACAGGGACCTTTCAT